AAAAAAAAAAGGAAAGAAAGAAACACACAATGTATTGAAAGTTGAACTCTTTGATTGATATTCCTTAAATTAACTACATCTTTTCCTCTATTTAATAAATTGTCTTTAAAAATATTAATTGTGGCTGCTGAGGTAGCACATAGCTACAATCCCAATGCTTGGAAGGTAGAGGCAGGAGGATCACAGCTCAAGACCAGCTTGGGTTACCTAACAAGTGTGAGGTCAGCCTAGGCTATATAGCAAGACTGACTCAAAAGCAAACAAATAAACAAAAACTTTTAATCTAGCTTTTAATGTGAGCCAGGCACTTGTGAAATCATGAAGGAAAATATAAACTTGATTCTTGTCCTCACAGAGCTTAGAAACTGGTGGGAAAGCGAGACAGTAAAAACTAGACTGACAGACATTATGATAGAACTACATAGGGTGCTCTCTGGGCATTAGCAGTGTTATATAAAATGCCAAAAATATTTGAAAAGGACTTCTTGAAAAAAAGGGATGTTTGGCTACAGTCCAAATTGGTGATCAAAAGTTAGACAAACTAAGTACATAAAGAGGCCTTAGGAAGAGGAAAGTTGATGTGCAAATGCCCCAGGACAAAAGAGTCCTGGAAGAAGACTCAGTGCAGAAGGAGTGAGGAGTGCAAGAGGGCAAGTGTCTGGAAAAGAGAAAAGGAGAAGGAAGACATCAGACTTTGTTAAGGACTAGAAATCTTGGACAGTGCATGTTTATCTCCTTCATTAACCACTTATCCATTTCTAATTCCTATTACATTTATAAAAGGCTATTTTTCAATTCAATGCACATACTGATGAGGGTTTTCAGATATGTCTCTTTCAGATTTTTTAAATATTATAAAAGTGTACTTAAAAAAGTATAATTATAAATTCAAAGTATTAATGTGTGTAGTCAGGTATTAATTCAGGTTAAAATCAAGATGTAATAGATTCCCTATGTGTTATATGCTGAATATAGTTCCTGAACATAATTCTTTTCAGTTTGGCCTTTAAAATCACTTAATAAATAACTGCACCGTCCAGTTGATAGGCCAACAGAGAAATAAGGAACAAGAAACTACTCAAAGTTACTCTAAAAACAGAAGTATTTATCTCTTGGTAAGAGATCAAGAGAGAATAACCTGACAAGATCAACACTAATATGAGGCTGCTGATGAGTACTGCTCCAACAAGGAAATTTAAAAAAGGGGAAAAACAAATTTCCAAAAAACTGAGTAAACATAGATTCAAAATATATAGATGGGTTTTGTGACTGGGGAGTTGGATATTATAGGGACAGCATTGGAAATAAGACTGAAAAACATGTCTTTGGATTCTGGGCATAATAATTTAATTTATATTATTCATGCAAATGAGTACCCACTGACAATTTTTGAAGGGAATTAACAATTTTTCTTAAGTTTAAAATACAATAGATTTTAATAGACAATATCACATGTCAACCTGCTAATTATAAATTTAACTGTAAGATACTTCACATTTCAGAAATATTAAAATGTGAAAAAATATGGAGCATAGAATTGATGAGAATTGGTATCAATTGCAAAAACTTGATGCTTTTATATATCACTATAAAAAAAAAAGCACTTGAAGTCTGCCTCCTGTTTTTAGGTCTCTTTCCCTGTCTAAATCAAGGTTTCCATATCTTTGAAAAAGTGAACACACAGTTAAGGTAAATTACAATATTTATAACAGTATTTACTACATTTTGTACTTCAGCAAGATAGTAAATGAATTTAATAAGGCCAAAAACTTCAGAATTATCATAAATGTGCCAGTTTATCATCAAGAAAAACATATTTCTCAAAGCCACAGTCTACATTCCTTATTAGGAATCTATTTTGTAAATGCATGCTATTTATCTCAAAACTACTCAGAAAAAGCACAGTCACAAAACTATAGAAGTAAGAAGGTGAGAAAGATCACAGAAACTATGCTGTCCAAACACCACCAGTGCAGGTCTTCCTTCCACAACCATCCTCCCAGACAGCCATTCAGCCTCCACTTTTACATTCTTTCCTGATAATCTGTAAGCCAATAAGGAAGAGTTTCCTGCTTTTATCACCATGGTAGCCCCTGAATAATAAACTGTGCTCAATAAGTGTGGTTGCGTGAGTGAATGAGTCCTATGGAGGAGTCATACCACTGATATAAGAGTGTTCATCTTTGCAGAAGAGATGGAATCTTAAAAGTCTGTTTAAACAGCAGTAAAAGCCACCTTTAGTGCCCTCTGATAAAGCCTGCCCTTGTTCTCAGGTTAAGTCCTACGGATACTTCAGGTAATTTCTCCAAGTCAAAGTTGACAATTCTATTCCATGACTTTCTATATATTATTGTTTCCAAGATTCTCTACTGACCCTGTACACTCACATTTGGTGGCACCCAGAATGAAATATATTTCCCATGTTACCTGGTCAGCCCAGAATTCAGAATCCTCTTACTAAATCTGTGCAAACCTTTAAGACTTGAGAAAATTACATCAAAAGGAAAGATTATGCTAAGGAGAGATCTTTCAAATACCACTCCATGACCAACCCCTCCAGAAAACTGAATTAATCCATTAAGAACCCCTGAATGAGGGAAGGGGCCGGGGGCAGGCAGAAGAAATGGCCCAAACTTTATATGTACATATGAATAAGTGAAAAAAAAAGATAAGAAAATTGACTCATGATATTCCTTGTTCAAGTGAACCTATAGTAAAATACTTTTGAGAGTTTTCTTTTCTGAATGAAGGCTAAGCGAGCATTCATTAAACCTGGGAAATTCTGAGTCTTCCAATTTGCATAGTGAATTGGAACTGCCTGATATGTAGTCTGAATATGAATGAACATGTAGTAATTCAGTAACATGAAATAGAAACTACACTTTAGTTACCCTGAAGGGCTTTTTCCTACTTTTATGATAATAGGGGATCATGAACCTATTCACCTTAATGTTGGGTAATGAGGCCTGTAAAACAAGTCATAAAAGCACTTTGCTTCCAATGCTGTTTTTAGAAATTCCAATCTTATGGAAAAATCTTATCATTATGAAAAGCATTTGTACCTTTCCCAGAATCCTAGAAATTAAAGGATTCCTAAGCACTTGGAAAGTAAGGTCCTTCCTACCATGGTTAATGAACAGAGGATTTAGGAATGAAAAGGGGAATATTTCTCAAGTTACTTCAGATCTGTATCTCTGAAACATACTTCTTCACTGGTACCTTAAAGTAGAATTTAATCTTGAAATGACCCAAAAAATAAGTCTGAAAAGAGGTACTGATTTGAGATGACCATTGAAGACAAATAATAGTTTCAAGGAAAAAAATATTTTTATGAAATTACATTTCTGCTCTTTAAAAAAATTAGAGGATAGAATTCCACCTTAGAAAACAAAAAGGCAAACTTTATAATTAATAGTTAATGAAAATTAAAGTAAGAATAACAACTTATTTTTTACCTATTAGATTAATACAAAAGTTTAAAAGGCAAAAACATACATAGCTAACTAGGAAAAGTCATTTGCTTCATAAATCTGAGCATAAGTTTCTATGAACTGGAAGAAATAACCTAAAAATGTTTATTAAAGTGTAGAATTTCCATGCTTTTTAACTAAGGATAGTATCTTCACATTCAGAAAATACATGAATCTGAGATGAATGTACAAAGATATTTGTTGCAACATTGTCACAATAAAACACTAGAAAATCTAGAATGTCTATAATTCTGATAAATCAATAAAATATTATTAAGCTATAAAAATATGAATTAGATGTTTATGTTAATCCTAGAGGAATGCCCTTGAATTAATAATTTTAAGTTAGAGGATAATATGCAGAACATAATCCCTTTTCTATAAAACTGAATAACCAAAAATCATGCGAATGTATTTTTGTGTTTATATAAGCATGAGGTTTTAATACTGATTACCTCAGGGTAGTGGCAGCACTAAAAAGTAATTTAATCTATATTAGTCACCGCAAATATCACTCCACACAAACGAGGCAGGAGTGTGCTTGTCATTTGCACGCAGCTTCAAGAAAGTCTGGTATTCCTTTCCCACCTGCCCAGCCCCATCAACACACAACACACAGTCATTCCTACAGGAAAATCCTGAACTCGTCAGAGTTTCAAGGAAGTGAAATAAAAAGTGCTTTTCATACAACTTTTTCAAATTTTTAAAAATTATCTTTTAATACTTGGAATTTAAGATGAACTTTTAAAAACCAAAACCTTTAAATATTTAAGAATTTAAATGTTTAAGAGAATTTAGATACTTAGAAATTTGTACCACGGCATGCGGGATTTAGGAGGTTTTTCTCATTTGTTTTCAGGAAGGAAATTAGTATAATTACAAAGAAATAATCAAAATGCTACTTTTCTTTTCATCAGTTTGTTCAGTTATGTTTCTTTACATTTTTTTCCTGGCGTTAGACAATGTCAGCTCTGGTCAGGACTAGGAAGGTTCAGAGTGTGTCTTCAAATCATTCCAAGATCACTGCTATTTTTTCCCTTTTTTTCTCTTCAAAGCTTAACTACTAGTATTGGCCTCCAAATTCTCATATCTTATTTTTCATACAAAGATCTTGGCCACAAATATAACAAACAGGTCCTTTTTAAGTAGTGTTTTTCAAGGATTAGGATAAATTTGTACACACTACTGGTCCTTCAGTTCCAGAACATTTCTCCTTCTACCCCAAAGTGTCTACTATGGAATAAAGTTTTCTTTGTGGAAATATAACTTAGGTAACTTAAGTCAATGGGGGCTGTTAAATGAACCCCTTTAAGTCAAAGAATATCAAGTTATCAAATGCTGAAATTATAGTTTATCTCTTGTCAATATCACCACTAGGGATTACATGTAAGAATTAAATAAGGTAACTACTATGAACTGCAAAGTATTGTGGCAGTGAGGACTGCATTGAGAAAATTATTGAAACAAGCCAGCTCTGAAATGATGGGTCTCTGAAATTGTAATCATAAAAAGTCTCACAAGTGCACTACTGGAAGAATCCATAGTCTCAGAAACATACACTTGAAGGTTCTTATATTCAATACCACAAATTAAAACACATGGAGATTGTTGAATTTTTCACTTTAATTCACTTTAATTTATATTGGGTGGGTTTGAATCTTCTCTTATTCCTTCATTTTGTTTTTCTATCACTGCAATCAGATACGGGATAACTTTCAGAAGACTTTAAGGTCTCAAAAGATTGAAAACCAAATAATATTTATATAAATAATAATCTAAATACATTTATTATATTGAAATATGTAACATGACATGTACTTTGGTAGTTTTTTCTAACTCTGGTGACTTCCAGCTTCTGAAAATCTACCAGGGACAGAAATAAGGAGAGGTATGTGCGTTGAGGCCACTGAGTGGGGCTGTAGTTGAGCCACTGATTTACCTAAGGACCAGATCTTATCTTTCCTTTGCTTTAGTTTACTCTTTCTAAACTTCAAAGCAGTAACTCATTGTGTTTCTGTTCTTTAAAGTCTTTAAATTTTAAAATGTATTTTGCTCTATAATTACAATTCTACTTCAAACTGAAAATTTAAAAATCCCATAATCCTACTTTAAAAGTCTTTTAGAAATCACATGCAAATATAATCATTTATGTGGTTTTACCCTTCAGCAGTTTCCCCTTCCATTTGAAAATTAAACCCTTTCCAGACGTAATGTTTTGCTATAATGTTCAGGGATAAGAGTCTCCCTAGAGTAGGGGTATGTGAGGAGAAACAAGTCTGTTTTCCGAATGCAACCTCTGAGCAAAGGATCTCCCACCACCTGCTGCTTCTTAGACTCCAGAACTCCCCTTCCAGCTAGCTTTCCTGGGAAGAGAGAAAACTGGAAGGGAGGGGAAGGAGGTTGGTGAGAGCAAGAGGCGGGGAGTGAAGAATGGGAGGCAGGAGGAGGCGTGGCCCGGCCTGGGACCGTCGTGATAAATACTGAGAACTGGGTGCGGGGGTGCAGAGAGAACTCGGGAGGATCGCCGAGCTGAGCAGCACCGAGGACAGCGCCCGCGCCCAGCTCTCCTCCGCAGCAGCTCACCCACTGGCGCACGGACACAGTCGCGAGCGCACGCACCCCCTTACAATGGCAGAATCCCACCTGCAATCATCCTTGATCACAGCCTCACAGTTTTTCGAGATCTGGCTTCATTTCGACGCTGATGGTGATTATCTTCTTTTTAACTGTTTCAAGTCCAGTTTCCATTCCCCTTCCCACCCTTTGCCCTCCTCTGAGCACCCTCATCCCACCATCACCCTTTTCTATTCTTTCCTCACTCTGCCTAATTTTATCTCCCCACGAACTGCCGAACCATCACGCTGAAAGTTTATATTGCTTGCATGTAATCTCCAAACCCTAAACTTCTGTCTTTCTAGGAACGGTTATGATAGGAGAGAGAGTGCAGGGATGGGGGAACCCTGCTCCCTCAAAAGTTTCTATGTCTGCTCTCAGCACCCCAGCTAGCTTCCTTTGTCTTCAGAGCAGCTAAAGTTTGACACCCGCAAGGGGAGCGCTGCAGCGACTACAGCCTTTGCTGGTTAACCAACGTGGAGGCAAGGGAGAGCTTCCCAGGTTGCCAAAAAGAGAGCTGTCTTGGAAAGAGAAAGAAGAAACTTGGAATGAGATATTTGACACCTGGGTGCCTCTTTGTCTTTGCAGGAAGTGGTTACCTGGAAGGAAAGGAGCTGCAGAACTTGATCCAGGAGCTCCTGCAAGCGCGAAAGAAGGCTGGCTTGGTAGGTTCAAGTTTGTGAAGGAGGAAAAAGACCTTCAACCCTAAAACGTAAACATTCCTGTTTTTCATAAAAAGCCAGGGGAGTCGAGGATTCTCCCAGGGAATGTAAAGATTTATTGACCCAGAAAGGCAAAAAAGAACAGCTCTCCAAATTGCATAGGGAGGGGGTGGGAAAGGGTAGTGAGGAGGGAGGGAGGCAGAGAGAGAAAGAGGAGAGGAGACTAGAGGAGAAGAAAGGACAAGAGAGAAGAGGAGAGGAAGGAGGAGAGAGAGATTCTAAAGGGAAAATTAGACTTAAATCAGAGCTTTAAAATGTATACTTACTCTGTACTTGCCCTTAGTTAAATAGGTCTTAAAAGGAAAGCATGGGATACCTGAGACCCTTTAGCAGATCACTATCTCTGCTATTGAGTCAGTTAGATAATTTTTAAGTTCTCTTTAACTGCTGCGGGAAGTAAGGAGGTAGAAATACTTTTCTGCCACTTGGTGGTCAGGAAACAGATCTGCAGACTGTGGATCTTTTATTCTACTGCCAATTATTGCTGTGATGGCTGATGTAGCTGAGGAGATGAGAAAACGTCCTGTCTTGACCCTCCTCACTGGGGAAAGGTGGCCAAATTGTAACATAATAGTGAGCAGTAATTTAGCAAGAAAAGGTCATCATTTTGTGTAAGTGGAAGGGGAAAAACCCAAAAGTTAGAAAAGTAAAACAATTTTAACAAACCCATGTATTGTTAAAAAAAAAAAGAAAGAAAGAAAGAAAGCAGAGGCATTCTGATGAAAAGTAATTAGTGGTGTTTTGAAAATAAGCTATGTGGCTGAAGCCATTAATTAATTAAACAAATAACAATTCTTATTAATTATAAATTATTTCCTTTAAGCCTGTTAAGAAAAGATGTTGTCAGCATAAGAATAAAATATGCCTAGCTTTTAAACATATGAGATGGTTGTATAGACAAAAGTAGGTTAAGAATTTTACCAAATCTATTGGGGTTTATGTAAGACTACCTTTCAGAGGCAATGGTGGACTTGGACTAGTTAGACATTAATGACTTTTGGCCTTTTGGACTATGATTAGAAAGAAATTTTTATTTTCCAGATAATATACCTATGATCTCTATTTTATAGCAGATCATCATCTCTAGTACGGGGTGATATATAAATATAATTAACTAATAGAACTATCATTTTGTTCTATCTAAATTGAAAATTCTGTGAGACACACAGCTGTACAACATATTCAAAGAATCCCAGAGGGGTCTAAATGTACTACATTGCATTACAGAACTATCAATTGCTAAAGTCATTCATCAAATTGACTTTAAACTAGATCATGGTCTAGGAATTGTTTTATTCAGATTTAGTAAAATGTAAATTCAGAAGTATAATAGAATGAGATCATTCTATTAAGACTGTAGAGAGTCTTATAAGCTCTCTACCCTCCTCCCACCTTATACATTAGCATGTAAATAAATTCATGCAATGCTTACCATTATAGCTCGATGAACCTATGACTAGCAAAACAAAAGCAATTCTCGTCCTCATTTAAAAATATATATATATTATTAAATGTCTTTTGGAAAAGTCTTTTTTTTCTATAAAATTTCGAATTAACATCTTGGAAAGTGCTTCCAACAGCTAAATGATTACACTTTAATTTTCTAAAAGCAATTTTAAGATTTATTTTCATCTTAGAAATATTCATGAGGCCCATATACTTTTTCAAAATTTTCTTTTCCTCAACCCATTTTAGTATTTGCACTATTTATAGATAATGTGTTCACGCTGAAGTTGGAAAGAGTTTAGAGCTTAATTATTTTTTCTACTACCTTTGATCCAATTTTGAAATATATAAAGCTCTAATTATTAAATTATAACCCAATAATACTAAACTTGATCACAGGTATAGGATTACATCAAGTTACTTAATACCTAGACTCTTAGGTATTTTTCTGTTCCATGTAAATAGACCTTGGATTGTTAAAAATCTAAATCAAGATCTGGATTGAGAGGTTCATAGACTAGATACATTTCACTATACTATCTATCTCCTGTTGCAATAAACTTATATATACATGTTTCTTCTCTTCTTTTTAAGCACAGAGATTGCCCTTATAAGCCCAACATCTTTGCACTTCTTGCCATAGTACGGAAGATTTTCTTACCTTAATGGAAATATTTGTTTGACTTACTATATACAAGCATTATTAGATTTCAAAAGTTTCACCTTCACCCAGTGAGTGACACAAATGAAATATGACAATCCAATATATTTCTGAAATCAATCCCATTTATACTAAACACATGTTTAGTCTTTAACTTTGCATTCATTTTTATACATTTTTAGTAGATGATGATGGTTACATGTTTTGTATCATTTAAAAATAGATTTTGACCCAATTATCACTTAGAAATTTCACTAACTAAATATCAAGTGAGCTAGCTAACTCCTGATACTATACAGTTTTAAGATTTAAGAATGAATTTGTTTTGTGTATTTTAAGGTATGTATAAAAATCATAGAGACTCATAATCCCACTGTTGCTATACAGTGGACACTTTCATTTTCTTATAATTGTTCCTGCAACAAAATTTAATAAATGCAAGTTGCAACTTACCCACAGTACAACAGTTCTTTTAAGATTACAATGTAATTAAATTGTTAGTACTTACTACCTAAGTTCTACAAAAGATATTTACATTGGTTTCAAAAGGATTTTGTAAATACTAGTACCAATGATATTTAGCCTCAATATAACCTTTATATTAACTTCTCTATCCCTAGAACAAACTTGTGTGGAAAGTAACCACCACCTTGTTAGTTATGATCAAAATTGAGACCTCAACTTGTTTTCCCAAGGTCATAGACTAGGATATTAGTAAAGGCTGGCCTATTTTAAATGGGTTTCAGTTAATGCAACAGGGTTATTTTATATGGGCTTTGTTCGAGACTCAAGGATAAAAAAAATTAAACTTCCTGAATACTAGCTCTATGTTCAGATCACTAGTTTACAGTTCATAACTCTCTAATCTGTCAATATGTAAAGAGATTATAAAAGTAATAGAGTATATTGGGCAAAAAGCCAAATGAGAAGATAGTATTCATTTTGTCACTTTTAAGTTTGTTTTACTATACCAAAATGCATGGGAGGGAGAATATCATTTTAGAAAAAAATTACACCAAGGTAACTCTGGAAAACCACTCCCTGAGCTCCTACTGGAGGCAAAGGTCAAAGCATATAATCAGGGCCTGAAATAAAATTATCAGTATTGTTGATTAGTACTTAACAAAAGTACAAATTGGTCATGTCAGTTTTTCATCTCATACTTTTTCCCCAATATTTAACTTTTCAATTTACTTAGACAATAAATGCCTGTTTCATGCTGGAATCACTTTAATTTTAAAGTGAGTTATCCTTTAATTCACTATTTTTACTCATTCAAATCAAAACTACATATTACTACTTCTGTTGATAAAACACTGCTATAGGACAAAATGTAACAATGTAAAATAATCTCTAATGAAGCAAATAATATTTAAAGTATATTAATAGCCATCATATTTACATTTACTAAAGATTGTGAATTGAATAATTCTGACTACATTTTTGAAGAATAACATGTTCTCAAAACTAATAATAGAAGATAAGTCATAATGATTGATTATAAAATGATCATTCATAATTATTTCATCTGAAAATAATAAATACTAGAAATTAGCTAATTCTTTAATTTTCATGAAAATAAGATCATCAGTATGCATAATTCTAGATGGTTCCAATTTTGGTTTTTCTTTTTTTTTTATTGTTGTGCTGGGTGGGGGTATATTGTGACATTTACAGAAGTTCTTACAACTTATCAAATGTATCATACATGAATTCACTTATTCCCATTCCTGGAACAGTTACACACAGGGATAATTTTTCCATTTTCATACATGTGCATACAGTATTTGCACTATATTCACCCTCTCACGCCCCTCCCCCATCTTCCCTCCCCACCCTCCTACTAGTACCTACCCTGCCCCCGGGCAGAACCTGTTCTGCCCTCTTGTCCTCCAGTTTTGCAAAGAAAAAAAAGACATTTTTGTTCGTTTAAGATAGCTACACAGGGAGTTTCCTTGTGACATTTCCATGTATATATGTATTATAACCTTAATTGGTTCATCTCCTCTTTCTTCTTTCTACCTTAGTCCCCTTCCTATGGTGGTTTCAACAGGTTTAAAAATTCTATATTCATTCTGTTCCTCTTAGGGCTGGTGGAGTGGATCAAGTGGTAGAGTGCCTAGCTAGCAAGCCCACCAATTTTGGTTTTTCTTTGCAATGATTTACTAACACCCATCATGAGCATAGTTTTTAACAAACTTCTTACCTGCTTTTATATAATTTTAGGAGTTGTCGCCTGAGATGAAAACTTTTGTGGATCAGTATGGGCAAAGAGATGATGGAAAAATAGGAATTGTAGAGGTAAGGAACTTATATGTTCTTCTGATTTAATAAATGAGCTTTAATTCTGAAGTTGTATCCAAGTCAAACATGATATGGCAAGACTCATTCAGAGATCCCTATTTCACCTGAGTAATATGCTATCTTCAGCTCAAAAGTATCAAGTAAAAAATCTAGACATGAAGGAGACCTAAGAGTTTGCCTAATCCAAAGCCAAAGTTTAACATATTATAAAACTGAGACCTGGAAAAATGAAGTGCTGAGCCTGCGTCATGCAGTACAGTCAGAGAAATAAGCCCTCAACTTCCGAATGAGTAACCATCACTTTGCACTACCCACCCTCATTTCAATAAAGTTTGTAAGTACCTGTTCATTGATAATTATTAACTTTTAATAGTGTACACTTTTCTGTTGAAATTTAAAATTAGATGTTTTCAGTCCCTATGATGACATCAGGTATAAAGCTGCATCCTGGTTTCTGAAATTTTATTTAAGATTGTTAGGTAGTTTTAGTAAAAACACAAGAACTAAACAAAAGTGAGTGAAAATTGTATGATCTGTTATAGGTACATATTTCTTTTGAGACACTAAAAGTTAAAACTGTAGGTGTCAAATATTATCTGTTGACAATGACTTTTCCTATTGAGAACAATTTATTTTGTCTGAGAATAAGAAAGCAAAACTTTGATTATGAATCTGTTCTGCGTTCTTGGATTTCTGAAAGAGCTGTTCCTCTTAGTCCTGCTGTTCTAGACTCTGGAGGCAGTATAGCATCTACCTTTATCTCAGCAAAATTGAGTAAAAAGTTTTATCCAGAAAAATTAATAAGGTCATATTTTAAAAGATGCCAAATCACAAGCATAATTATGTTCTTCATATAGTGTTGTCAGTGTATTAATTGTGAAGTGTTCTGGCTCTCAACAAAATTTAGTTATAATTCACCTTTGATTAAGAGAACTAACCTGGTTTTCAAATAATTGATCTTATTAGGACACTTGTGACGCCAGTGTGAAATATACTTATTTTTAAATACCTACTAAAATTGAATGAAGGGAGGGCATACTGTTATTATCTTTGTAATTAAAATTTCTCCCTGGAGTATGCACTTTCCCCTTTGCCTGTGTGTAGCTCATTATGATACAAAAAGTAGATAATAGTAATGAGTCTTACAGATTGATATAGAAGCCAACTAATCAAGATATGAGACCATGAAGGAAATCCCATGCTAGTAATCCCAGCACTAGGGAGACAGAGGCAAGAGAATCACTAGTTTGAGGCTAGGCTAAGCCACATAACAAGACCGTCTCAAAATAAAATAAAAACATTTTATATTTTAAAAATGTTAAAATATGTTAAACTAACATAAATGAAATGAGACATATTTAATTATTCAAAACTATCTTGAAAATCTGACATCACTGAAATTCTAGCTTTATAATCCTTGAAGGATTTATTCCTTCAAGTGGGCTCAGCTATTTATTCTGTGATTTCTTCAGTGGGCTCAGCTATTTATTCTGTGATTTCTTCAGTGGGCTCAGCTATTTATTCTGTGATTTCTTCAATGATACAAAGTTGTGGAGTAAAAAGCATAGTTCTTATTCACATGGATTTTATGCTTCAATAAGGACAAAATGGATGAGCATGTTTTGAATCCAAGTTTTATTATAAATGATATAGTCTGATCATTTAGGACTTATTATTTGACGTCTAATGTGAATGAGAGCTAGGGGTCAGTTCACAGATGCCTTGTCTCAGAGGTCTGATGAAAGACACTTTCCCACAAGTTTGAAATAAGAAACTGTTACCGGAAGAAAAAGTTCTCTATGTAAGGAAAGAGGGAAATATACATAAGAGGAAAAGATGAAGATGATAATGAAGGCTGAAGTGAAAAACTGAGCAATTTTTATGGTAATAAGAGTAAGAATTTATGTCTGTGAGACATAAAATTTATAAAGTGTTTCCAAATAAGTTATCTCATTTGGTCCTCATTAACAACCAAGTAAATCGTAAATATGAAATAAGTATCTATTGGAGATAGAAGTTGGGGAGACTGAAGTTTCAATGGAATTTGCCTAAGGTCAAAGAGAAAGAAAGAACTAAATGTACAACAGTCAGGACCCAGTCATATTTTTCTAAACTACTTTGCCTACTTTTTAAAATAATAGATGATCTGCACATTTTCTGCACTAAAAGGAAATATTTTCAAGCTTCAGAAGATTACTTGTAGCAAGACCTAAGTTTTACTGAGTTAAATGGAGATACACAAAGTACAGATGCTCCACAACTCACAATGGGGTTAAAAGCATCATAAATCGATGATGCATTAGTAAACCTAGCCTACTGAGCATTGTAGCTTAGCAGCATGGTGCACTATGGAGTACAGCTGCAGAATCTCCTGATTGAGTGGCTAACTTAGAACATACTGAAGCTGCCCATCATCATACATTAGTAGCCCAGGAAAATATCAATATTAAAAGTATAATTTCTACTGAATGTGTACTGCTTTTGCACCATCATAAAATTGAAAAACCTAAAGCTGAACCATCTTGTGTCAGGGACCATCTGTAGAGATAACTTGTTTGGCTAAAGAACTTGAAATGTGGTATGGGCAGAACTTTTCAAATCCTATCATGCAGGAAGAATCTAAAGGGAGAGTAGTAAAACATAAGAATTGATTATAAGGTTCTGGTGTTCTTGTACATGGAAATTTTTGCTAGATGGAACCCTTGGGAAGAACAAGCCAAAATTCCTCATTTTAAGGATGAAGAAACCGTAGTCCAGAAGGATTGAGTGGTGTGTTCAAGGTCTCAGTGAGAGGGAGGGACTGACGATCTACAGCACTAGATCTGACCCTGATTTCAGAATTCTCTTCATGAACCTGAGTTATCAGCCAAGATGTAGGAAGAAGGAGTTGGGGGAGGAGGTATGGATTCACTTGGGGAGAAGAGAATCAGAGAATGCAAGAACAAGTAAGAGGTGGTTGTTTCAGTAGTTCTTACGCACGTTGATTCAGTGTCGGGTCATTAAGTAAGAATAAAGAAAAGAGAAGTTCTGAAAAGTTGAAAGTTGCAGATAATATAGAAAATGGGAAAAGAGAAAGTCAATCACACTTGAACTTATAATGTATACTATGTTGTCACCAGAAAGTTGTTTTAAATGAAACTCATCCTTTCTTTATCCAACTTGACATATAATATTACTTGCTTGGAATTCTTTATAGCATATGGGACATAAATACACAAATCTTAGCAAGATATAAAGGAACACAAAACCCCATGTTTTCCAAAATTTATAATATTCTCCGTCCTTATATCAAGTACACCATAACCTTGTTGTTCAAAGGTAAAAGAGGTTGGATTTGCTTTTATGTTATTCCACTTAACAGTTACATTCATGGACTCATCAAAACCTAATCAAAGTAAAATAATATCCATGCAGTAGTCTGCTTCCCTAATGGAACCAACCAAATTGATTTTAAAAATTAGAAAATAGTTAATTTTCAACATTCTGACTTGTTAAAGTTAACTGACATTTTACAACAACATGCATCTCCTACTAAAAAACATGTAAAAAGGAGAGTAATATGCAGTTATGATTACTTCTGAACTTGGTAATTTCATGTCTTTAAATAGTTTTTAAATTTCATACAAATACAGTTTGGTAATAACAAGATTGTTAATGTGAGCTCAAAACAGGAGCAATGAAATTCTGAGATAATTTAACAAATAACACAACAATAAAAAATGTTTTAAATTTATTCAGACTAACAGTTCTACTGCAAAGAGGGCCAATTAAAATAATTAAATAGGAAGACTGAACGATGTACGAGGGAATGGTATTTTCTTCTCTGAGGCTCCCTTAGCTGGAAGTTAAATCTATAAACTTTCTCCTGTCTCTTGGGGCAATGAGTGGGAACCTACCAATCTCTCCAGCCTTAGTGTTTCTATCAGTCCAGGTCAGTGCATTCACTGAAAAAAAAAAAAAATAGACCTAAGAGCTATTTTAATTCTGAAACTGTAACAACCCTCCCAGGGAAGCAGGAAATTCTCTAGCTATTTCCTCCTTTATTCTACAGTGGAATTTAAGCATGTAAGTTTAGTCAGGGCAAATGTAATTTTTCCTAACAGAATACTTATCTGCCTGAGAATTTGGAAAAATGACTAACAATGAAATCTGATTTTTTAAATTCACGCTAGATAGATTTTTTTTAATGATTTATTATGAAAAGTTTTTTGATCAGCAATTTTAATGGATGGTGATAAAGGTAAGGAACAAAGATCTCAAAATCAAGAAAGTCAGACTGACTTCAAACCTGGTTCAAACAACAAGCTAAGTGACAGCAGACCCTCTCTGTGCTTCTCTTTCTTCAGATGTAAACAGGGATCACTATGTATTGACTTCCTAAGGTTGCTATGAGTGTCAGCATCAAGTGAGATAATACATGACAAACAGATCAACCTTGGAACATTGCAAATACTCAAAAATGTATTTGTCTTTACTATTAAATATAAAAATAACATACTGAAAAATCTACTCTATTGTTCTGAATAACAAGTCTTTTTTTTCCCATCTCTTACATAATTTGTGAAATTCAAATGATTAAACTAAAATAGAATTAAATGTATGAGAAGATCATTTGCCTTGCAAATATCCCAGATTCACTTCTCATTGGCTAGGAAAAAGGCTTCTCTGGTTCTCAAATTGAAAAAGCGAATTCTTTTAGCTAAGAAGGTTAAATGTGCCACAACTGTCTTTAAAAGTTAGAAATTTTGCACTTTAAAGCATCTGTCTCAGTCATTTGTCTCTCTAACGGAGTTGCTCTTCATGTGTACTCTTCTCAATGGTAGTGCTTTGCTTGAGCAATGTATCATCTCCTGTTTTGAAATTGCCAGGAAAAACAATTGTTTGAAATTATCTGTCTCCCTATAAGATTCTAACTGGTGGTATCTGCAAATGGCTAGCAAACAACATGGTGGCTTTATGTTTAGTAAGGGATTCAACCTCTACCAAAACACAACACAAGGGCTCTTTATTATGCTAGGAAACGAAGAGAGATGGAAAACAAAACTGTTAATGTTGAGTTTCCTGGAAGCAGATTTGAGTGGAAGAGTAGCATTAGGAGAATTAATAGGAAGTGTTTTGGGATCACTTGCAATAGAAGGAAAGTAAAGGGAACAGGACTGGAAAAAGGTAGATGATGGACTCTGACAGTCTTAACAGAGACTTTTACTGACCCCAAAGCATGCTCCTAAGCTGAAATCACCCTTCAGAAATTTATCAAGTTTTGATTGAGAAGAGTGGGACTTGAAATTCCTGTGTGGATTAGTCATAGAACATAGCTTCCTTGGGGATATAGCTATCTTCAGCCCAGGCAATCCCTGAGAGAGGCTTGAGAGCTGAGACTACAGCAACACTACTACAGCCTGAGGGTAGCAAGCATACCACAATGTCCACTCCAACTCCTACCTGCAATTTAAAAATAAGTGATTTGAATTATTTCCAATAGAACTTTACTTCCACTTATTTGCAGCCTTTGCCAACCCTATACAAAGTCAGTTGCCTCATTCACTGCATCAATAAAATATTTACTGAAATTACTGAAGTTTCTGGGCACAGAAAGAGAAAGGAAAACACAAACTTTATCCTTAAGGAGACAGGCAAGTAGAAAAAAAAGCTTGCTTCTCTGTTCTTCGGGATAAGCAACCAATTTTCTAAAGTGAAGATCTGAGAGATTCTGTTTGTGGCCGCAGCTGTCAGCCTTCCATTTTTCCCATTGATAGCCTCCACTCTCTTCTGAAACCCATGAAAATTTTGAGAGTTCATAAAAGGGCAGGCAGACAGCCCATGGACTAAGAAATCACCAACAGTGTTGGAATAGGGAATTCTAGGTCCTTTTATGGACACAGTAACTTAGCAACTCTGAGAATAAAGCAGCCCTACTTACCACCTAGGAAAGACCTTTGACAGGTTGTACACATGGCCTGAGGTACTGCAGCTGTGGAACTACCTTGCCCAGCTTGAAATTTGAATAGTGATTCATATGCATTAGCAGATGGAGCAACAGACAACACAGGACTATCACATTGTGAAACACACCTTAAGAAGAATTTCTTTATATTCACTATAGCCACATTTTCATTGCTTTTTTTTTATGGTTAGTTTGTTTTATAAAGATATTTTACATATTTAGGACTTCTTTATTGTGTTTGTAAAATAGGATAGCACTGTGTTGAGCATAACATTAATAGTTCAGTGAAATTAAAACACAACAAGTATGTTGTATAGTATTTTTTAATAATCAAATTAAGACCAAGACAACATAGGCAAAGAAACACACATTGGCACAAGTCATAAACAGCAATTTGGCCCTCTTTGTATTTGACATTGTAGAGAGCTTGAACTTTATATGAATTTATATAAATTTTATGAAACAAAGATTGTTAAATTTCCCTGCTCTTATATGTAGTTGCTGATGAGTAGCTTATTCTGTTATTTTTTCTGTTTTCATATAGTTGGTGGATTTAGAGAAGTACATTTTTAAAAGAAATTTTCATTTTGCTTTTGTTCAAAGCAACCTACATTAATAATAAAATTCAAATAATGTAAAAAGCCATGATTGTAAAAAAAATGCTTACTGTACATCATGCAAAGGAGGTATTTTTAAGGGAATAAAGCTATCAAACAAACCACAAGCACTTATTTCAGGCACATACGAGGCTGGGCCTAACACTAGATGATCAGGGGATGCAGAGAAGAGACATTCTCTGCCTCTTGAGGTGGATGGTCTGTAGGAGGTCCACACAAAACTTAAAACGTTACAAGCCAATAAATAAAGAGTTTGTATTGGCTATTTCCTATTTCCTAAGTGAATACTTCTGCTAATCACACCTATATTATAACACAAGCAGATGTCCAGTATCACACAGAACCATCCAAAGTGCTCACTGACCATCTAGTTCCATGGACCAGCTTGTTCCTTAAAATGTCTGCCTCTGGCCTATTTCTTTCCTCTTGGAAACATATGCTTTTTATTTTCCTCCTCCATTGTTCCCCTTGCTTTCCTGGATTATTCTTCCTTCCCTCCCCATCTACCTTGAAGTCCTAAAAGAAACATTCTCCAGAACCTCTTCAGGAAAATATTGTTATACAGGGTTTTACAGAAGGCTTTTGGGAGGAGGGTTGCTTCTTCCTCCTCTGGAGACTCTTTTCAGGCTCAGTCCTTCCTTGGGCATTCTCCCTCCTTGTTCTCCTTTTCTGCCTTAGCTTTGGGTGGAGACCCACTCTATAAGCCTTACTTATTCAATATCTCTCTACTTTAGTATGAAAATCATTTATAGATACTTTCCTCTAGCAGCACAATTACAGGTGATGGAAGAAAGATGATATAAAGATGATGGTGTACTGGTTTTCAACGAGTGGAAAGATAGCTCACCATATTCAGACTATCTTGTCATATGTAAAAATCACCAATAAATGCACCATTTGCTTTCCAAGTGCATTCCCATAGTGAAGAAGCAAAGCAACCCATTCTGCTGCTATGTTCAAGAAGCTGACTTAATTTACTAGTAATCATCATATTGAGATGATTTTCAAAGTTTGCCAATCACCAAATCAAATCACTCAACCTCTCTGGGTTTTAGCAGTCTCAACTCAAAATTTGGGCTTTGAATTAAATTGTATTACATTATTTTTGCAGTAGATAATTTCATAATTCAAGAATTCAAGGAAATCAAAGAATACAGAAGAGTCTTGAATTTAATAAAAGACCTAGATATCACAAATGCACGTGCACACACACACACACACACACACACAGAGTGTAGTAATATAAGTAGTATTTATGGGCCAAAACCTGATTACATTTTAATAATGTAAACCTAAAATGGCAAATCCTAAACACCTATCTTCACCTTTTAGATATATTATCATCTATCCACACTTTGCTTCAAAATAATATATTTTCTGTCTGGATAATACTAAACATCCTAACAAGATATTTGGTCCTTTCCCTTAGTCTCATCCCCACATATGGAGTCTATAAACTGAATCATTTTAATTTGAAATATTTTAAGGATCTAAGAAAGGATAATTTAAAAAACATATTTTATAAGTATAAGGAAAGTGATATTGCTTGCATGCAAGGTGAATGACGTTTTATATTAATTTTTTTAATTGGCCTCAAAGGATGAACATTTTTTTAAAATTGCTGTGATAATCTCTCCTATAATTTGGTGGAACTTTTAGGACTTATATTGACTTTAAGATTAAGGTTCTTGATCTATACTGCAAGGATGAAGGTTCATGTCTGTGCTTCAGGGAATTTATTGGCTTCAGGAAATTAGTCTAAGTATAATATGTGTGGGTTCATTGGCTAATGGTGAAGTTACAATAATTACAACAGAAGGTGTTTTGAACCCAATACATTTAAGAGACAGTAGTTTCTCCTTCACCTCCTTATTTTAGTGATGAGGGTGCTGAGGTCAGAAATGGCCAAGGGAGTTGCTGGCGACCACAGCTCATTAGCAGCTGAACCAGAAATAGAACTCACGTCTACAGTGGAGCCATCAATCCAGCTCCTTCCTTCTCTACATGCAATAGATTATAATAATCTTAAAATGGGTTCTGAAGCCCTTTCTCCTCCAAAAAAAAAAAAGGAGAGAAGTATTAATGTTATGAAATGAGATCTAAGGAAGAAATGTCATAGTCACACAGTGAAGATCAAAAGTTAACCCAAGCCCTGGATTCAAGCAGTGGATACCTTTTTTGCAGAAACCAACAATTTGAAAATGGACTTTTCTTATTATTGCTCAGTTCCCCATTGTTCATTGTGAACTGTTTTATACCTGTCTTTGTATTGTTTTATAATTGTCGTTGGTTAATCTCTCTTTGCATCTCATAGTAGGATTTCTCCCCCAATTTGAAAATGCATTTTTTTCTTTCCCCTACATTTATGTTTCTCACAGTTTCTTAATTTCACCTGAAATTTATGTGCCCTGTGTGTGCCATTCTGTTTACCCTGAGTGATATGTAACCTGGCCTGCAGAACAGAACACATGAAGGGTTTGAGCAACCACATTCATCTGCTTGTGTGTGCAGCAGATAAAATGTGGTCCTGCTGTATCCGTCTCCCTGACCTGAGAACCAGGCAATCAAGGCACTGAAGCAGGGGAACACATGGAGCACTTTGTAGGAACAAAGTACCAAAAAGGGAAAGTCAACTGTTGTTCTTCCTTTCCTACTTTTCTAAGCAATGAAATTGTTCCTAGGGAATATGTTGAAGCAAAACTTAGCAGCAGGTGATGGCAGATCCTTGTTTTCAAGCTCCTCACCACAATGTTTCTCTCTTTTAAAATATTTTCCAGTTGGCTCATGTGTTACCCACAGAAGAGAATTTCCTGCTGCTCTTCCGATGCCAGCAGCTGAAGTCCTGTGAGGAATTCATGAAGGTAGTAGAAAACTGTAACTTTAAGAAAGCTACTAAAAGTAGGAAAATTGTGGACTTTTTAAAAAAAAATTGTTTTTTTAATCCAAATTACTTACAGACTTGGAGAAAATACGATACTGATCACAGTGGCTTCATAGAAACTGAGGAACTTAAGGTAAGGAAATAAAAACTCATGCTAAGGTTTTTTTTTTTCATTTTAAATGTAATTATGAACTGCTAAGGGCTTCATAGCTTTTTCAAAAACCTCCCACAAAAGAAACTAATGTTGAGCAATGGCACATTTTCACCCACTCTTCCACATCACTAATGAAATATCAGATCAAAAAAGAAACTTCAAGTGCTTCTTGAAATTCTATTCAGTAAGGCAAGAAATTAGCATTTTCTGTGGTATACACAAATTGTTATATAAGATAGACAGTCAAGGAGATAGACAGACAGATGTAACAACTATACAGGCCCAGTAAGTCAACACTCTCCATTGAAATTTGAAATTTTATTTTATAATTAAACACCCATATAAATAAATTTCTATTTCAAAAGAACACAAAGAAAAATTATGGGACACATCTTGTAATGCCAAATACTTTATATACATTATCTCATTCAATCTTCAAATGATTCTATGATATTATTACTCCAGTGACAAAAAGCTTGAGAGGACTTACATGATCTACTAAAGGTCACACAGAAATAAGGCACAGGGCTTCAATGTTTAAGTCAGACCTACCTGCTTCAAAGGCCATTTGTACACCCTGCTACTTCTCAACAATATCAACAAAATCCTAATATAATTAGGTTGAAAAACAGCAATTCTGCAAATGAATTTATCACTTCATAACTCACAGGAGTACTATGGAGGTGATGTGGGAGGAGGATATGAAGAAAGGAGACCTGAATCAAGTTTTAACTCAGGGCATATCTCTACATCACTAAAATGCACTTTCATGTTTAAGATGGGTTAACAATACCCTCCTCTCAGATGCACGGTGAAGCTCAAGTAAGATGTTACAGCACACGAAACGCAAGGCATAATCATACGACATTCATAAACTCAACTTACTGACCTTTTAGAAACATGGACAGATCTTTCATCTCATTTCCTCAAATCAATCTTAAGATGTTTCAGTCCAAAAGACCCTCATTCTTTTAATTTCAGAGTAAAAAGTGACTAAAAGGAAAGCAAGTTAATATTTATTGAGCACCTGCATATGTACCCATGTGCATATGCAGTACTATGTGCTAGAAGTGTGTTTTAACATTTAATCTTCATAGAAAACTTGCAAAGCAGTTATCATCATTCCCCATATAGAGAGAGACTGACTTCAGAGTGGTTAGATAAGTTTTCAAGATTCCACAGCTGCCTAGGAAGGGAGCCTAGGTTTGGGCCTATACTATCTGATAATGTTACAATGCTTCTTTCCTACAGCACTACATGCCTTCAAGCTTCATTCTTTGAGAGCTACTTCTGCTACTGCTACATGGGGAAATACAAGTAGCAAAGAGTTTCCTAACCATAGTTTGACACTGTTTAAGAAGGATACAATTTTAGAGCTGGAACTGGGACATTTGCTCCATTATAAAATTGCTAAAACATATTCACTTTCAGCCTCTTGAAAGTGTAAATATTTTTTTAACGTGAAGTTACCAAAAGCAATGTATTTCACACCCTTGCTGCTCTGCAACTCAAGACTGCAAGGTGACAGTGAAACTAGTGGGTTTTTATTCTATTAAACCAAAAATTCTTTCAAAAATCATCTTAGTTCATAATGAAAACTTTAGCTCATTTCTAACGCTGACCTCAAAATATCCTAAAATTCTCCTTCTTTGTTCTAAATTTTCTTCTCAGAAAGAGATTCTAAATAGAAGTCTTCCTCCCTGAGGAATTCTGAAGATAAGTTGGCATTCTTTTTTAATGGATCTTTCAAGAAAGCTAATTTTAAGATCCATAATAGAGTAAAACATCTCTTGCTCTCAGACATGACTTTGAATCCTAGTGTCCCAAGGTTTCTCCCAGGCTATTTTTGTGACCACCATTTTAGTCTCTGATGAGGCTTTTTAACCCAATTAATCTCTGACAAAAGCCTCAGAAGGCTCAAAAATAAAATTCACGCCACCAGATAACTTTCAATTTTCCATGCTTCACTTTGGATTTGAAGCAGAATGTCTGAAGTGAAAATAAATTTATCAAACCAAGGGAAAGGTCTCCTTCCTTGAAAAGAGTGATGTCAAATCAGCCAAGCAGAAGTGGTACATTTGGGAGAGATATAAACCACTGCTAAACTAAAGAAACACAATCCTTCAATACTATCTGGGCATAGGATCTACTCATTTTCCATAATTGCATTAATTCATTTTCTCATAAAATAAAAGAGTTGCAAATGAAACAGTACTGGACACGATGAAGACTATTATATACTTAAGTGGTTACACTGTCATTTCTGTGGCAGATCTTTGTATAGCTTTAATTTAAATCTGTTGAAAAAAATTAAACTCACTCCTAAGCTCCAACTGTCAAGTTAATAATCATCTTTTCTTATCCTTCCCACATTAATCTCTATTTTAATATGATTCATATATCCTTCAAGGATTACATGCCATCCTCTGTGACCAAATGTTTTAGTTTGTATAGTCAGCTGAAGCATTTTAACCAAGGCTCTTTGGATTGTGTCAAACCTAAAAACTAACCACCTGGACCTCTGGAGAAACAGGCTTCATACTCACTATAAACTGAGATGTAAATACAGTTCGTGAGAGCAGAAAATGCATTCAAAATTAGAGGTAGATCTCCATCTGGTTGCTGTTAATTTTTCACACGTTACAGAGCCTTCATGCTTCTTACAGAAGAATCACACGAATAGTTGTGAAGATATAATTTAAGTAGCAAGGCATCCATTAAGGTGGCTGGCTTTTAATGTTTTAATTCACATCTCTACACAGTGCACAATCTAGATCTTTTTTTTAATAACAAGGAAAATGTTTATGATAATGACACATGATGAAGCAAGTTACCTAACAATTTCTACTGTATGATTCCACCTCAAACACAAGGACTGGAAGGAAATACAATTTAACACCAAGAGGGTGTGGTATACAGTTGTCCTTTTGCCTTTTTGTACTGCTTTGCATTTTTTAGGTTTCCTACTGCCTTTACAGTTGGAAAGAAAGCAATTGCCTTTTGAAAAGCACATTAGAAATCATATTGGTCTTTATTTCTTCCAGTCTGATGACAGAGATCTCAGAAAGCTCTTGCTTTTCCCCTTGTACACTTTCTGTTAAAAGTAATACTAAGTGGGAATCTATTGCATACCTCCTCTGTTAGCCAGGTATTGGCATCTGAGTGATGCATCTCACTGAGCACTTCTGAGTTTTGTGGATTAGTATGCTTAATGGAGAAAACTGAAAACGCTTGAGACCACCAGGATACACAGACTGTCAATGACCCCTAGGACTCCCAGAAAGCCAAGTGCACTGGTATTTTATCTGTGCAAATGAATTGAAAAACCTACCTTGCCATTTCCTGCTCAGAATATTGGGGCAGATGAAATTAGGTTACATTGAACTTGTAGACAATTTTGAAAGATAAAAAAATGAAAAAGGAAGGAAGGAGAGGCAGGAGGTAAGGATAGAGGGAAGAATAAAGGGAAGGAAGAATAGAAGGATAGAGAAAGAGAAGAAAGGGGGTCAAATCTAAGAATCTGAGAGGAAGTCAGACATGTGCAGTGCTTCCACTCTCTGGTTACATTTATATATAGGACTTCACTCTGAAGAGACACCCCTGTGTCCCACAAGACTCAAATGTACTCTTCCATTGCCATATATAGAAAGGAATCTTATCCTTTACTTGACTCATAATCAAAGTGGGGAGAGAAGCCAAGCACAATCTAGATCTTAATGGAATTGAAATAATAAAAGCATAATATAGCTCAGACTAGAACAAATTGGGTCTGAATGAAAAGCAGATATTGTACCCATCAAAGGAAGTTTCATTACTAGAATGCCACAAGGACCACATGGGTTGGTCTTGCTTTAGAGGTTCTCTCCTCATCTGATTCTACCTAAAAAGGGGCTTTCTTTGTATTCCTATTGCAAGTCATGCTGAAACAGAAGCAGATAGGGCACATTATTGATGAAATTTATCTGAATGTTCTTTGTCTTATCAGAACTTTCTAAAGGACCTGCTAGAAAAAGCAAACAAGACTGTTGATGACACAAAACTAGCTGAGTACACAGACCTTATGGTAAGACTGACCTTGAAAAGATTTATCCAAGAGCTCATGGATATCACTCTTCTTGCTAATTCTCAAGGCTCACAGGATGAAACAATAAGCCATGGTGTGAGCATGACAGGTGCACAGGTATCACTTCATCCAAAAAATGGAAATACTTAAGGATGTTTACATCTTGTCATGTTGAGTGCTGCAGACATTGGTTTTACAGCTCAATGTATGAGCATTTCTTTTCTTATAAAGTTACTTAATTTTATCTCTCAAAAGATGACTTGTTTTTCTTACAAAGCCCATAATTATATCACTAAGTTATGTAGCTTATTCACGTATGTTTTACACACACACACACACACACACACACACACACACACACACACACATATATATATATATGAATTATAAGTTACATCACCCCAAACTCATTATAGAGGTTCTGAATCCATTTTTATCACAGCTTAGGAAATCATAGGCTTTTTTAGAGTCTAAAGAGAACTTTTAGCTACATTTATTCATTAAACCTCTTAAAATAGGTCTCTTGAGTTTTGTTATTTTGGGGTATTGCATTGGTGATTTGAGTGAGAAAATTCAAGCACACCCTAAGCTGACACTTTAGTAAATAATACAACCAAGATGTATTATAACATATGGTAACACATCCATGAAAACTTCTTTACACATAGATTCTTAATGTTTTAGGGACAAACAAGCAAATAAATTATTGAAGTTCTCAACAAAAATTATCCATTGCCCATGAAGTTACTTTGTCTGAAGTAGGTGATGTTTGCTCATTTTGACTCATTATAGGATTAGGACTTCCAGGAGATACATAATTTATATATGCTTTAAGTACTGTGAAGGTACAATGAATGAATTCTTACTCCATGATTTAACTAAATAACCCATAAAACACAGTTGTAATTATAAAAGCTGCTTGCTATATTAGATTGATGAAAAAGTTAGATTTTTAATTTTATAAAGAGTTTGATTCAATTTTATGTGGCTACTTACTTTCTCTAGAAAAGCAAAAACAAAACACTAGAACTTTACTACTGCTTTAATCACTAGTGACAGTAATTATAAAGTGGATCTAGTCTTTTGTTTTAAAACAACCAAAAAGATTTTCCATGGACCTCTTTAATTCTTCATTACATCTCCTCTTACAATAGCATTAGCAATCAAATGGTAGGCTTTTTGCTATGTGTCACAGTAGGCAGATCTAAACTCTGAATCTTTTGAGGGAAATGGACAATAACCTACATTTATCAGTTTTCTATTTTGCCCCAGTCTTAAGGGATGTCTATTTAAAGTAAAGTCTCCTTTCCAGGTAGAAATTTGAAGCAGCGTTTCAAAAACCACTTGGCTAGAAGTTTCCCCCTGTTGGACTGGCCCAGCAAATCTGATTAAAAGTCATAAACCAGTTCAAATCCAGGAAGCAAATTAATCAAGAACTAATTAGAAATTTAAATATATAGGTGAGGAAATATTTCCCTATGGGCACTAAACTGTGTGATCTAGTTGTCTAGTATATCAGTACTAGACAATGTTCAATGTGTGACAGTGTTCAATGAATTATAAAATGCTGTGTCATTATAGGACCCTGACAAAAAATCTGCTTCCCACAAATAATTTTTAGAATAGCTCAAATGATAGAATTCTTTTCCTTTCCTCCTAAAAAAGACTTCACTAAGCCTATATCCATTATAGCTTGTTCACATTCCTTTCTTCATGAAAAACAGTTTCATTTTGACATATTTAGTATTCATTTAGTATAGTATACATATTTCATATAGTGTAATATGTTTCAAATATGCTATTTCTATATAACATAATGCAATAGTTGTTATTTCTAAAAGTTCAAATGATCCCCAAATACAGGTAAAGTGCATTTGTGTCTGGATGTGTCTCAGTGTATGATGTGTATGTAAATACAATGGAAACATAGAGAACTTTATTGAGTATCTAGTGCCCAATGGAAAATAAAACAATTCAATATTACTCAAATTCTAGTCCCTAAAGATTTATTCATGCTATCTCCCTATTGCTTTTGTTTGCATTTATTCTCTAAGTGGGTGAAACAAGAGTTGGGGAGTGCAGTTCAGTAGTAGAGTGTTTGTCTATCACATGCAAAGCCCTGGCATCCCCAGCACCTCAAAAGAAAGGGAGAGAGTGAAACAAATTAAATATTTGTTTTCATACCATTGTTTGAAGAGGTTCAGCCATATTCTCCTAGGCACCATCCCTCTCACATCTTAATCTACATACAAACATATTTGCAGGAAAAATATAGTACTCTAGAAGCCTAGTTAAGACCACCACAGTATTTTCTGTTTGACTGTTCTTATTGTTGGTTAGTTTAACAATTGACACAAGATACAGAATTGAAAATTTGTATTGAAAGTTAAAAAGATGGGCCAGGTGTGGTGGTTCATGCCTATAATTCCAGCTACACAGGAGGCATAGGTAAGAGTAGGGTCTGTGGCCAGTCCTGGGAAAAGCACAAGACCCTATTGGAAATATAAGTAAAACAAAAAAAGGGCTGGGGGTGGGGGGAAAGGGAGGTGCATGGTTCAAGTGGTACAGTGCCTGTTTAAAGACCCTGAGTTCAAACCCCAGTACCACAAAAAAAGTTTAAAAGATGCTAGTTTCTAAAATTTAGCTGTTCTGTATAAGAACTTGGTAACTCAAGCTGTTTGATTTTAAGTGGTTATCTCCGTCATTCAAAAATCCTAACTCAATGGCTAGAATAATAATATTCTATCTTTCAGCTGAAACTATTTGATTCAAATAATGATGGGAAGCTGGAATTAACTGAGATGGCCAGGTGAGTTTAGGAATTGTGCAAATGTTATTAGAAAAAGCTGGTCCTATTTCAAAACTCTCATCTCTTAATATGATTTTTTCCTTTCAAAAGGTTACTACCAGTGCAGGAGAATTTTCTTCTTAAATTTCAGGTATTTATCTTACTCTCTTCAGTAAACAATATTTTCCTTCAAAAGTCAGAATATGGGAGATTTATTAAGAGAAACACTGAAATATGGTCATAGCATTTTAACCTCTGGTCTTTTCTCTGATCCTAGGGAGTCAAAATGTGTGGGAAAGAGTTCAATAAGGCTTTTGAGTTATATGATCAGGTAAACATTTTTTCTTTTTTTGAATTGCAGTAAAAGCACAGCATGAAATATATATTCCTAAAATTTGAAGTGTTTTTACACTTATAGTATTATTAAGTATAGAAAAGATGTACAGAACTTTAGAACTTATTTTTCTTGCATAATTGAGACTTTGTGCCCATTGATTAGGGACAGTCCATTCCCCCCACTTTAAAAACAACCATTCTACGTTCCCATACATCATGTAAGTGAAACCATGCGGTATTTGTCCTCCTCTGACTAGTTTATTTCACTTAGCATAATGTCCTCAAGGCCCACCTATATTTTAATACATTGCAGGATCCCCTTCTTTTTAGTGTTGAATAATATCCCAGTGTACATAATTTCTTTGTATATACTTTGTCCATTCATCCACCAATGAACATTTACATTGCCTCCACATTGCAGGTGGTATTGCAAATAATACTGCACTGAACATAGAGCGTCATGTTTACTCTATGAAGATAGATCCTGATCTTTGGTATAAATACCCAGAATTAGGATTGCTAGAACATACAGCAGTTCTTTGTTTAAATTTCTTGATGTATCGTTATACTGTTTTCCATGGTGGTTGCACCATTTTTTATTCCTACCAACAGAATACAGGGTTGCAATTTCTTCACATGCTTACTAATACTTTTGTCCTTTTGTTTGATATAACCATTTTAACAGGTGTGAGGTGATATCTTATTTTTGGTTTTAATTTATATTTCTTTGCTGGTCACTGACATTGAACATCTTTTCTTAGACTAGTAGGCCATTTATGTTTTCACTGGAGAAATGTCTATTCAAGTCCACCTATTTTTTAATCGGATTAGTTCTTTGCTATTAAGTTATAATACCTTACCTATTTGAATATTTTATTCCTTATATGCAAGGAAATTAGTACCTTATGTAAATGAATGTTTTGCAAATATTTCCTCCTGTTCTGTAGGGTGCTTTCTCAGTCTGTTGACTGTTCCTTTGCAGTGCAGTTTTTCAGTTTAATGTAGCTCCACTGTTTATTTTTGCCTTTGTTGCATATCCATGACCTCAATTTTAAGACCACTATCATAAAGTCTTACCTGTTTTCTTCTAAGAATTGTACAGCTTCAAGATTTAAGTCTTGTATTGAGTAGATTTTTGTACATGTCTTTAGGGTCTAATTTTATTCTTGTGCATGTGGATATACAGTTTTCTCTTACAGCCATTTGTTGAAGAGTCTATCATTGTCCCATTGTGTATTCTCAGCATTGAATCTGTAGATTTGAGTAGTAAGAACATTTTAACAATATGAAGCCTTCCAGTCTGTTGGCACAGAAGTCTTTCTATTTGCTATTGTCTTCTTCAAATTCTTTCATTATTGTTTCACAATTTTCAGTGCACAAGATTTTTAACTTGTTTATTTCTAAGTATCTTATTCTTTTCTAGTACTACTGTAAATGGAATTTCCTACTCCTTTTCAGATGGCTTATTGTTAATGTATGGAAACATTTGATTTTTTTATGTTGATTCATATCCTGTGACTTTACTGAATATGTTTATTAATACCAACTTTTTTGTGTCTTTAGTTTTCTATATATAAAAATCATATTATATGCAAAACAGGAACAATTTTACTTCTTCCTTTTTTGTTTGGATGCCTTAAAAGTTTGCTTTTATCTATAATTTTATTCTTGAGAAGAATTCGGAAAATACTCAGTAAGGGAAAGTAAAAGCCTCACACTCAAGACTCACATGAAAAGAAACCTGGGCTTCTAAAATTACACAACAAATCCATTGTTTCCATAGGAAACATACTATGTTGTATCTTACACAAACCTTGCACAAACCTTGATTCAAACCCTTCCCCATGATTTATCTGCTATGAGGATTTGAACAAAGGACAAAAAAACCTCTGTGCCTCAGTTTCCTCATTTGTAAGCAACAGATAATGATACCACTTGCAGGGTTGAATGAAGATTAAGCTAGGGGAAAATACCCCCACAAAAGTCTCTCACATAGTAGATGTGGGAAGAAAGGGTTGTTTTAGTGTGTGTATGATGTTGTTAGTTCTTGTCTTTGGCTTCTTCTAATTTCTCTACTCTTGGGCCAAGAGTATACCTGCTCCTTCCTTCTGTGACATCAGGTCAATCATACAGCTTCTCTGGGCCTCAGTGTCTTCACTTGTCAGAGGAACAAACTTATGGCTACTTAGTCCAGCAAGAGATGATATTGTTAACATAAAGCAAAATATTAAATGTGAAAATTATTTTAAAAGTTCAAGATATCTTAAAAATGTAAGGTGTGAGTGCAGAAGCAGCTCACCTATTTTGCAACTGGGAAGCAGTTGCTTCCCAGGTGAGGGTCTCACATAACAGTGCCTGCCAAGTATGCAGTTGGGAGATTTTGTGAGAATTCCAGTTTTTTCCCCTGTACTTCATTCCTCACTGTGGATGGAGTTGGATGTGTACTATTTTATTTCTCCTCTCCCAGGATGGCAATGGATACATAGATGAAAATGAACTGGATGCTTTACTGAAAGATCTGTGTGAGAAGAATAAACAGGTAATTTAGTTACTATACCACTTATTTCTTAAGTAGACTTTATGGATCCATCCAGAAGCAAACATATATCCATTCTGGAAATTTACTTTAAAATTTTACAGAGCAGCAGAAGTAGATTTTGATTCTTAACTCAATTTGGTTCTGGCCTAAATCAGTATAACCATGATAAATATATGTTTATATATATATATATAAAACCTTGTGATTATTCACATTTGTATAAGAATTTCATCCAGTTCTTTTCTTAATGGATTGATATAATAAGCAGTTTTCATTCTACATTTTATCACTGGACCATAGTTAATTTAACTTCCATATTTAACTGGATTGCAATGCCATCTGTGTTGTATACAGGATCTGGATATTAATAATATTCCAACATACAAGAAGAGCATAATGGCTTTGTCAGATGGAGGGAAGCTGTACCGAACAGATCTTGCTCTTATTCTTTCTGCTGGGGACAACTAGAGTTTGTGGCTACAACCACTTGCTAGCGATACATTGTATCTAAAAAATAACTGTGCACTATAAAGGAGTAGGCTGTATTTTCTTTTATATCTGTAAATTTCACTGCATATAGATAATTATCCAGGATATGTGGCACATTCTTTTCTGCTTGTTTCTATACTGTTTGTAATGTACAGTTTTTGTAACTATATGAATGAAAAGGAGACAGTCTATGCTTAGACCAGTTAGTACAGCCAATTTTAAAAATAACCTAACATATTCTTGTTTTCATAAATACAGTTGGACATTAATATTTTCCTAAAAATTTCACCAGGAATAACCTCTAAAATTCTAGTCTCTAATGTGTAAATGCACATTTGTCACTGAATAAGATAATAATAATGATACAATGAGCATTCTTAGACAATCATGAAACTGTCCCACAAAATACTTCTAAGCTATTATTTCCAACTATTAGTAAAAATGTCCTTTTAAATCTAAAATACCAACATATCAATAAATACTTAATACTGGCTTTATGAAGTTAACGGTCTCCCTAGATTTTCAGTTTACTAAACAATGACATGTCTACTGCTTGATCCATATTAAATGGTTGGTTCAAGATCTGGTAACAAGGGAAGGTAGTACCAGATGACATTAAAAACCTGTCTGACTCCACACCTATATTTCCAATGAGTCTACTGTCAGAGAGTATGGTCTTGATCCATTTTCTAAACCATTTTCATGTGTTTCCAATTATAATTATCCTAGAAAACTGCTGTCTTATATAGTGTGTGTAATCTCCAATTAAATTTAATATGCTGAGTATCCTGGTGTCTAGTTTGCATACTTCCTGGATTTTCTTTCTATGTAGAGCTGTTCATTCCATCAAGAGTATCTGCCCCATCTGAAAATATTTTTTTCTAGCTATAACAACTCTATTTTTTACTACATAATTGAATTTTAATGTAAAATTCATAGCACCCTGATTACTGAATGTTATATCATCAATACTTTTGTGTATTCTGTATTTCATATTGAGATTGGCATTCAAAATAGTTCTATTTCTATCTACAAATAGTTTCAAATGAATTAAAAATAGCATCTGAAGAGAAATACTAATGTAATCATTTAGCCTATCTAGTGAGGGAGATTCTAAAACCTCCCTTTGACCCACCTCTAAGTCACAGCTTCACATATTTGTAGCTAGATTATCCTATACTGGTTATAATTGATATGCAATGGTTGGTGACTTCAGATTCTTTGATTGTGATGCAAGGAACAATGACCAAAGTGTCTGGGTGAAATTTATAGTTACTGCCAAAGAGTTAATGATGGTCCTGGGTCAGCTTGAATGTTCCCATTCGACACTTTTTCTGTTTCATAAAAATAACAAAAATGTGAGCTGTCTCTTTCCCTCAAGAATGAACAGAAAAGAGATCTGCCAAAAAATAAAATTTATCAAATGACATGAGTAGTAGATTGGCTTTACCTGTAGCATGTAAATGGAAACACTGACATTAGACAGAGTTTAAGTATTAAGAATAAATAAAGAAAATAACCTTAATCTCTTGTATTTGTTTCTTCTCCAAAATATTATTTGGCATGTAATCCATAATCAGTCAAGGCAGACATGTAAGATGCTCAAATTATTATAGCCTAAGGAGTAAAATAAATGCAAATCTAATTTAATAAATTATTAGATGGTTACTTGAATTATCTCTAACACTAAATTTTACAAAAAAATTTCAAAGCATCCAAATGTCTGGAATTTTTTGCCAAAATGATATAGTCAAATATTTCTTCATGAAGGTCTCCAAAGGAATAGGAAAAACTTTTCCTATATTTCATGCGTGGAAAAATAGTTTACTTACTACAAAGCATACAGCAAAACTATACTAGGTTTGGCATTGTCACAGTAATGGCATGGAAAAACAAGCAAACAAACAAACAAAAAAACCCACAACAGGAAAGTATGATGGTAGTATTTCTGCATACCCATGTTTATTGCAGCATTATTCACAATAGTTAAGCTACAGAAACAGCCAAGGTGCCCCACTACTGATGAATGGATTAAGGAAATGTGGTATTTATATACAATGGAATTTTATTCAGCCACAAAGAAGAGTGAAATTTTGTTGTTCACAGGTAAACTGATGGAACTAGAGAACATCATCTTAAGTGAAGCTAGCCAGGTTCAGAAGGCCAAAAGCCACATGTTTTCTCTCATTTGTGGAATATGGGCCTAATATAAATACGGTGATATTATGAAATCAGGACATGCTAAGCGGAGGTCACATATTGGGGGAGGGAGGAGTAGATGAAGGAAGTTAAGAGTATGAATGTGACTGATATGCTCTGATACAACAATGAATATAGAACTTTTAAGCCTGTTGGAACTATCATAACAAAGGGACTAGGATAGAAAGAAGAAAAATAGAGAAGACAAACTAATTTGGGTTAGAGTACATATATACCTGGAACGTCACAAGGAAACTCCCAGTGTAGCTATCTTAAATAAAAATGTCATTTTTTTTTCTTTTACAAAATTGGAGAAAAGGACGACAGAACACATTCTGTCTGGGGTAGTTGGCACCAGTGGGAAGGGGGAGGAGGTGAGGAAAGGGTGTAGGAAGGTGAATATAGAGCAAATACTGTGGACACATGTATGTAGATGGAAAATGATTCTTATTGAAACTATTCCAGGATGGGGATAAGAGGGATAAAGGAGAATGATGGAAGGGATGAATTTAAGTATGATATATTTGATATATTTTAAGAACTTTTGTAAATACCACAATGTACCCCCATCCAGTACAACAATTTAAAAAATTTAGACATTAAAAAAAAGAGACTTCCTAGAGAGCTGATGGTAACAATTGTTAGACACCCAGCACCAGGAACATCATGGTGGACTTGAGCTCCTGAGCAATCAGACAAAAAAATTCTTATACCTGGCCTAGTTGGTTACAATTACACATATATGGCAGTTCTGCTTTGAAGGGCAGAGATCAGCATGGAGATTTTAAAAGAATGAATCCAGGAGCATAAATGTAAGACGACTAGCACAATGCCTACCTCACATCATGAACAAAACACATTCCAAGTTTAGTTCAATCTAAATATAAAAGGTATGGGAAGCGGAGGGGGGGCTGGGGGGGTAAAAGGGCACAAACAATGTATACATATGTAAGTAAATGCAAAAATGATAAAAGAAAAAATAATAAATAAGTATAAAAGGTATGCAGACAATATTGAAGAGTATCTTCAATGTCCCAGGCATGGAAATATTTCTTAACAAAGAGGAAACAGGTTGAAAAACTATACTCCATTAAAAGTAAGAGCATCTGATCACAAAAAGAGACATTTAGGCATGAAAAATCAGGCCAGACATGGTGACACATGCCTGTCATCCTAGTTACACAGGAGACAGAGATAGGAGGATGACAGTCCAAGACCATCCCAGGCAAAAGCACATGATCCAATCTGAAAAATAAACTAAAGTAAAAAAGTCTGGGAACATGGCTCAAGTGGGCAACTACTTGCTAGCAAAGGCAAGGCCTTAAATTCAAACTGCAACACCACCACCACCAACAACAAAAAAGAGTTAAAAATCGGTTTTCAGTGTGAGAGAAGATATTTGTGACACACATAATTGTCAAAAACATAAGTCCAAAATACAAAAGCATTACTCTTAAATAGCAATTTTAAAAAATATAACCCAACAGAGAAATGTGAGAAAGTTGAGTTGGCAATTCAAAAAGAAGATAACTGAATGTCAATAAACATAAAAATAAATCAATTTTATCACTTATTAAAAGAAATGCAAATTTTAAAAAATGAAATCCCACCATGTGTTCATCATAAAGGCTTCAAGAAATTTGACTACTCAGTATTGCTGTTTTGGTACAGCAGAAACTCTCACTGCTTGGAGGGAGGTTAAAATGTAAACAGTTTGGAAAGCTGTGTAGTAATATCCACTAAATTTGAGCGTATTCGAACTCAATCACCTAGCAATTTCACTTCTAGTTATTATCAATCTAATACAGAAAAGCATGCTATGTTTTCACACAAAGAACTAGCATGTTCACATGCAGCATTGTATTGGTAGACTCAAACAAGAAACAACCCCAATGTCCTTCAATAGAAGTAACAAATGGATTATAGTATATTCATATATACCATACATTCAAAAGAATAGTATAGAACAATGTGAATGCATAAAATTGCTACACAGAAAAGAGCCAAAAGCAGAAAAATACATATTGCAAGATTATATTTGTATAAATTTCAAAGGCAGCTTAACTATGGTGCTAAGTGCCAAGACTGTGCTTTAATACTAGGGAGGAGGCAGGGGAGTCTTGATGGGGGTCTAGAAGGGGCTTCTGGATTCCTGGTGGTGTTGTTTCTTCACCTGGGTAGAGATTACATGCATATATTCATTTTATAATTCATGACTTGTTTACTTTTTAAATTGCAAAGTAAAAACAATGGGCTTTTCACCTTTAAAGGTTTTTATAAAAAATAAACATACATCTGTCATATGGTCCAGCAATACCACTCCTAGGGAGATACCCAAAGGAATGCGACTCAAGTTATTACAAAAGCACCTGCACACCCATGTTTATTACAGCACAATTTACAATAGCAAAGCTATGGAAACAGCCAGGATGCCCCACTACTGATGAATGGATCAAGAATATGTGGTATTTATACACAATTGGAATTTTACTCAGCCACAAAGAATGAAATTTTGTCATTCCCAAGTAAATGGATGAACTAGAGAACATCATCTTAAGCAAAGTTAGCCAGGCTCAGAAGGCCAAAAATCACATGTTCACCCTCATATGCAGATTATAGACCCCAAACAAATGCAGTAATATTATTGGACATGGGTCACACACAAAGGGGAGAACATGCACGGAGAAATAGGGAAAGGAAAGGAAGCCTAAAACTTGAATATGGTTGATGTGCTCACTGTTGAGGAGTGAATAAAGTAATCTTAAACTGGCAGAGGCCACTATGAGAAGACCAGGAAGCAGTGAAGAGGTCTGGTAGAGATGAGCCAATGTGGGTTGCAATACACATGTGCATGGAAGCAATGCTAGGAATCTCTTTATATAATTGTCTTTATCCCAAACTAGCAAAATCACTATGTCTTTCTTATTATCTCTTATGTTTTCTCTTCAACAAAATCAGAGAAGAGGGCAGAAAAGGTTCTGCCTGGAAGCAGGTGGGGTTGGGGGGAGGTAGCACAATGTATACACATGTAAGTAAATGTAAAAATGATAAAAGAAGAAAAGAAAAAAAAAGGGTTTTATAATATAATTGTAGCTCATAAAGACACTGTTATTATTTTTTGATTTAAATTATACACTTAAGAAACATCCAATTGGGGCAGAGATGCAAGCTTGACCTAGGGCAAGTCATGTAACTTGCACAGGCCTTGAGCAGTTTCTTCAACTGGAGAATGACTATCTTCTTAGGCTTTTCCAGCTCCAAAATTCTGTTATTCATATGAATAAAGTCACTTCTGTTCACGCTGCTTTAGTTTTCACAAGAACAATAAGGAAACAATGACTGTCACTCTATACCTGAAATATTTCCTTGAGGTTTTCACATTAATTGTAAGATGAGTGACACTATTACTAATAATCCCCACTTCAATTGACTATTAACTCTTCCATTAGCGTAACGGAAGCAGGACTCTTACAAAAAGTGCTAAATAGAGTAACAGTAATTATTCTTAAGGTGAATCATTGATTTGCTTTCAGCCCAAGTGTGGTCTGTCATGGAGGATAGTGATTATCGATCAATGTTTGCTTCTCTTTCAGAGGTGGGAAGAAATGTCTTGGTGGAGGAAATCCCCATGATCTCCCTTTTTGATCCTCTCTGCCATCCTCACAAATTTTGCTATCTCATCAACCACTTGTAAAAACATGTAATAATAAGAAAAATACTCAGAAATGACTAATAGAAGAAAAAATTGCATACAAATTCATGCAAATTAAAATTTTTAAATGCCTGATTAAGGCACCAAAGGTAAAATGACAAACAAGAAATTTGTAGACCTAAGAAAGTATTCAAACTCAACCAGTAATTAAATTAGTAACATGTGCTATAATGGGGACTCAAACCCAAGATACTGTGCATGATAGGCAAGCACCCTACCCTTAGCCTAATCCCTGACCCATCAAACACATTTTTAAAGGAGTTACCATTTCTTCCTTATAAAATTAGCAAACAGTTTTTCACTGTTAGCAGGTATTTGTTGAAACTGGAACTATCATACACTACTCAGGGATGATAAACCCATATAAATTTTTGGAATAAAAAATTGTATGCAAAAGCTTCATAACTTTTGATTAATAATACTACTCAGAATCTGTCATGAAGTAAAAATTTGGATTTATAAAAATGATTTTTAGCCAGGTGCCAGTGGTTCACAACTATAATCCTAGCTACTTGGGAGGCTGAAATCAGGTGGATTGCTGTTTGAGGCCAGCTTAGGTAAACAGTTCTTGAGACTCCCATCTCCAAAATAACCAGAGCAAATGGACTACAGGTGTGGATCAAGTGGTAAAGTGCTTGCTTTGCAACCATGAACCCTTTAGTTCAAACCCTAGTCCCATGAAAGGAAGAAAGGTTTTTGCTCAAAGATGTTCATATAGTTTTATTTATAATAGAAAAAAATAAAAATGATCTATGACCTCAATTATATGTGGTATTTAAGTTAAACTCAGAAACAGAGAACAGAAGCTGGGGTGGGATGGAGAGTTGTTGATCAAAGAAGTATCAGATACGTGGGGAATACGTTTTGAGATCTTTTACATAGGAGAGTAGCTATAGTCAATAGTAATGTATATTTTAAAATAACTAAAGAGAGCAAATTTCAAATTTCTTACCATAAAAATTATATAGGTCTGTCAGGTGATGTTATGTTAATTAGCTTTGTTTAATCATTCCATAATGTATACCTATATCAAAGTATCAGATTGGATCCCACCAATTTTTGTCAGTGAAAAATACTATCAATAATTTTTAAAACTCATTGGCAAAGAAGGCAACAGCAAGCATCCTTGAAGAAAAAAATTAATAAAAAATTAATTCTAAGAGTAAAGACAAATAAGTTATGATACATATAAACCAAAAGTACTAAAAATCATACTGATAAAAAAGAAGGATCTGTTTTATCATGCCCCAACTGGGTTTGTCCACTCACTGCTTGAAAGGTCAATGACATGAGGACAAATTGTTGGGGTAGGAAAAAAGATTTGCTTGGAAAGCCAAGAAATCCAAAGAAGATGGGAAGCTATCGTCAACAAATACCATGTTTCTCATCCTAGGCTCAAGCTCCTTTTATACCTAGATACAGAGGAGGACTTATATTAGGAAAGGATTGATAGGTGGAGACTTGAAGGCACTGCTCCAGGAGTCTGGAACAGGATGTTGTCAAACTGGTGAATGATAATCTGTTGATCATGATGGCACTGTAAATTTTGAAAAATATCTTCCTCTTTTTAAATTTTGTTTTATTTTATCACAATATAGACTAGGTGTGAACTTGTTGTGTAGCCCAGCCTGGCCTCTAATTTGAGAATCCTCCTGCCTCATTCCTCAAGTGCTGAGATTACAGGTTTGTGTCACCATGTCCAGCTGAAAATATTATTCTTATCATGGTGTCTTCAACTTTGAAAGGGGAGGAGAGAAAATAGGTAATTTTAGGGATAATTAATCTTGTATTACCAATTTTAGGCAAACATTTCTTAAATGTCTACCAGTATTTTTACTTGTTTCATCTCACTCAATCCCAAAATAACCCCATGAAGCAAATATTATAATCCTGTATTGTACAAATGAAGAAAAGCAGAAGTGGTAAAAAAAAAAAAAAACTTATTCAAGGTCATACAACTACTGGAACTTTTTTTTTTCACTACAATAAGTATTGAAAAAAAAGGAGGAAAGATGTGAATGAATGAGATGAAAATGAGGGTTAATATTATAAAATGGAAACTGAGTATCTGCACTGGAGGTATGTGCAGAAAAAGTGGTAATATCCTATAAAGAGTCCAATGCAAGCCAATATAACAGAAAACATCAAGGCCACTTATTTTAGACCTATAACATTATCCTGTGAGCACACAAATAGACATAATAAATGTGATTTATGGACACAACTGTCAGTGTAAAAAGGGTTCCCATAAGTGGCTTATAGCCTATTATTCAAATAGGAAATCTCTTTACATATATTCAGATGAGTTAAGATGAAAGATGGTCCTTTTCCTTGGCAATTTGGGGCAATGACTTCAAACTGAAAATGGTGGTAGATAGAGAAAAATCTCGTGAAACACAGACTTTGTTCCAAGGGTAAAACCTTGTACAGGACGGTCACCCTTATAACTAAGTTGGGTTTAGAATGGCTGTTACTGAGAAAATTATGAGTGATTCCTGTGCAAACAAAATGGACTTTTTAAAAATAAAGCTTCAAAATTATAACTACAGACTTGAGACTTTCACTTTCTTACAATTTGATTCTTAGGATTACTCAACTCAAATTTAAAATTAAGTTAAATCATATACAGAATATTTTATAAGCTTTGTTCATCTTCTCTACTCTGAGAAATCATTGAATACTATATCCTAGATGCCACTTTTTCTAAACTTTGGAGACAAAATGAATTACTTCCTCCTCTACACATTAATACTGCTAGAATATTACTTATCACAATGTATCATATATAATTATTTATAGGTTTATTTGTCCTATAAAGTTTGAATTTATATGAGGCTATCTAGAGAAAATAATTCACAAGTCTAAATGAAAAGGAAATATAAAGAAAAGGGAAAGTCCATTAAATTTAGTATTGATCCTCTAATTTCTTTTTTATAGGCCCTGTTACAATGGGCATAGTGTAAGGGGTAACTCAATACTATACTCTCCTGATTTTCCAGATCACAAATACCTATTGCTTTCTCTGCACTTCCAAGCACTTTTTAACTCTTTCAAAGCCTTCACCCACTTTCCTTCCTTTACATTTTTGAATTTTTTGAAGAATATATCCAAAGTATCTTATATACAAGTATGAAAATATCATAATGAAGCCCAATATTTTGTATGCTACTAAAAAAGGAAAAAGTTTTAAAGAGATGATATCGTATTTAATTTATCTTTAAATACACAACAGCTTATCACTGTCCTAGCAAATAATATGAATTCAGTGAACTGTTAATTAACAATTTATTGGGACTGGAGATATAGGTTAACATGCATGAGGCTCTGGAATTGATCCCTAGCACCACAAAAGTAACCAAAAAAAACCAACTTACTAAGTTTGTCAATCAAAAGATTACAGTCAGTTTATGTTGTTTCTAGTCCCTAACTTTTACTGTATCCAAGATGAAGACAAAGTAGCCTTAGGAGCCTTTCGTCTTCCGGATGAGTCCTTCTATGGCATCCCACTCCTCCTTGGTGACCTGATGAAAGAAGAAAACATCAGTTTATTTGGGTTCTTGCATGTATTAAAGCTTAGTATCCTAGCTGCTAATATTATGTTATATAAAAGAAATGGCATTACCTTCCTTAGGGAGTTGAATTCGCCTGATATAAACACTTCCTCTCCACCATCAAATCGAATGACCTGAGGAAAAAAATATTAAAATCTCTGAAACAAGTCCCTTTTAAAAGATCCATTTTCACATCTTAACTGGATGGACTGTTTCCTTGGCACTTTCAATCAAAACCAAAATTTATGAAAAATAAAACTGATGATTAAATCTAAGTTGATTTATTCTTTTTAAAATCTTGTTTCTGACAAAATTCAACTCCATCTTAAAGATCATCTTAAAGCCAGGTCTACCAGGGTAACTTGCATTTAACAAGATTAATTTATTGAGGAATAAATTTTATAGGCTAAACAATATACATAAAATATCTTACATTATTTACAGCTAACTAGTATTTTAAAATCATATTTACATTCAGCATTGTCAGGATTGGTTCCAGAGTAAGTCTCCCATCCCCCCTCAAGTCAAGGGACACAAAAATGCTTACTGCTCCATTAATCCAAGAAGCATAATCACTGCAAAGAAAAGTAGCAAGATTTGCAAGCTCTTCCACAGTCCCCAGCCGACCACAGGGAATTCTGTCAATCATCTCTTTCTCAAATGCTCCAGTTGGGTCCAAACGGCTAAAGGCACCCTTAGAAATTAAGAAAACAATTAGTTTTTGATGTTGGGTGTGTGTGTGTGTGTGTGTGTGTGTGTGTGTTTAAAAGCAACCCTTTTCCCACTAAACTTAAAAATGGAATGCTGCAATAGCAGCCTGGTCATATTTAAGGCCCTATGAAAAACAGAATTTCATCAAATTCCTTCACATTCACCTTTTCACATTCACCTTTGGCTGAAACAGGTCATTTAACCTAAATTTGATCTAAAAAAAATCAGTGGAGAATGTAACCGTGTCCTTAGTGTCTGCTCTATAAGATGAGGCTATCTTCCTTATCTCTCTCACAAAGTCATTGTAGGCATCAGATAAGCAAATGTGTATAAATTACTCTCAAATATGCGAAATACACTTAGTGTTGTGGGAATAGTGGTGTGGTTGTCATTCCTTTAGTAAACACAGAAAAGTAAATAGAAGTAAATAGGAAATATTTAAGAGGAAGTTCCTTTTCTTCTCTTTTCTTCCCAACATAATAGAAAAGGAATAAAACAAGTGTGTAGGAATATTAAATCCAAGCAGACAGATCTTAGAGAGAAAAAAACTAAATCAGCTACATGATTTTTGCTTCGTGTTAATGGTGTGCAGGGACAGACTGAGATGAGGTATATTATTGACTAATAAAAATGAGTCTTGAAATCTAGGTGACAGTTGTCCTTGTAATACAGGTATGAGACAGAGCACACACTTGAGGTTCCTTGTGAGCCCTACTGCTCTCCCTGGGCAAGTAGAAAGCAGCAGGGGTAAAGGGTAGCAACTGGTCCCTACCCTCATTCTATCAGAGCTTCTTAGAGAGTTTCTACACTTCAGTGTTCTTTTAATCTGGGTGTGGTGGTGAATGCCTATAATCACAGCTACTTCGGAGGCATAAGTAAGAGGATCATTGTCTGAGGCTGGCTGGGGGCAAAAACTTAAGACCCTATCCGAAAAATAACTAAAGCAAAAAAGAGTTGGGGGGTGGAGGGATGGCTCAAGCAGTAGAGTGCCTGCCTAGAAAGCATGAGGCCTGATTTCAAACCTCAGTATTGAGAAAAAAAACACCTATACCTATGCTTTGGATAGAACTCATCTCTCTACTGCTAGACTACAAGCTCATTGATGGGAAACACTTTGTCATTTCAGTACCTATACACAAAGTGAGCACTAAAAAAGTACAAGTTAAATAAATACATAAAATGCGCTTAATCTTTCCTAGATATTGGGGTCCAAGAAAAAGCTTCTGTAACCACAGAGTTCTTTTCAGATAGTACTTTGAGTTATTTCTCCACTAATTTTATTAGACTTTTGGCTATTGAAGTGTTAGATATACAGCATGTTCAATTAAGTTTCACTTGCTCAGGTAATTTTCTTTACATTTTCCTCCTTTATGTTGCTAAATAATCTAATGTGATAATTTCTCTGTTAACATTTAATACCCCAGAGCTGTTTTTCACCCAAATGTTCCTTAGTATTATTTTCTAACATGTTTATGCATTTTGACAGGGTTTTCAAGGCTACATCCCAGGGATCATAAATTCTTGTTTCACATCAAAACAAAAAGAAGTGGGAGTGTAAAGTCATCTGGGATAAAGTGAAAGAACGGAAAATGTGGACATTCTGAGCAATACTTGTAACAGCATTAATGATAATTATCAGTTGCAATGGCTGTCTGTAAAGTTAATAAATCATAGGTATAAGACATGCCTTCAAAAGAATTTTTAATCACAGCAATGTAGGAGTGAGATGACACACATGATTGACTGAAAGGGAAAAGCACAGCCATGAGTCAAAGAAAATGCCACCAATTCAAGACCAAACCTTCATGATGAATTTCTAGAGCATCCCTTCAATTAAAAATATACTTATATTTCCTGACTTAAAAAAAGAATACCAGTCAAAGGAATAAGAATCTTTAAAATATGGTGACAATAACAGCTTTGTCATAATAGGAGCAAATCAGAAAAAAATGCCAAAAATCGATGGCATAAAAGATTTTTGAAATTTAAGACATTGAAAGAGACCTAATCACAATATTGCATAGCTGCTATATTGCTGCCCACCTCACCATTTCTTATACTGAATAATGGCAAAGGCCTCTCCCCAATAACCAAGGTTCCAACCCTAGGCATTCCTGTAAAGTTCTTCACACCACAATGAAAATGCATCCATCACTGTTTCATCTTTATATTAAAACTTACTCTGGTTTTTATGGGCCCTGGTTGAATTATGTTGAATCGCATTCCATATTTACTCCATTCAGCTGCAAGAGACCTAAAAATTAAAATAAATAAAATGCATTTTAAAATATTATACCATAAGCTTAAAACCACAAACAGCCAAGATTCACTGAAGGCTTATAACATGGCAGAGATTACGCCCCAGGAGATATGTGCTATTACTATTCCCTGCCTTACAGACAAAGAGACTGAGGCACAGAAAGGATACATCATCTTCTCTACGTTATATGGTGTGGCCTGAGCTTGAGCCCTTAACCACTGTGCTGTATGGCCTAACATTTGTTTTAATGTCCTACCATCTACATTTTAGAACAAGAGACTAAATATCAACATACAGTTTTAGAGGTGTTCACAACTCATATAGAAATGTGAGTTTCATGTTATTCTCTCACATTTTCTGGAGTTGAATCTTGCATTTACAAAGTTTATTATAATTTTACTTAAAGCCTTGTGTATTGGATCACAATGTCTGCAGCATTACAAATACTTTAATTGAATAAGAGATGAATTACAAAGATTTAAAATATTAACCACATCCATGTTTAACTAGACTTTAATATAATTGTTGAACTGAGCTTCAAAGGAAATAGGAACCCACGAAATCTTACTAAATGTCCTGAAGCAAAACTAATAACACTAATAATAAAAATAGAACTTTGAAGTAATCTGTTTTAAAAACATACCTGGTATGGAATAATGTAGTAAAAAGGCTCTTTTCTGATGCTGGCATCTTAATATTAGATTTCCCAGCCTTGAAAACTGTGAGTAAATGAGTCTCTATTATTTATTTTTGGCGGTATTAACATTTGAACTCAGGGATTCTGGCTTGGTAGGCAGGCACTCTATCACTTGAGCCACGTCTCCAGCCCTTTTTGTTCTGGTTTTTTCAGAGATAGGTCTTGCCTTCTTGCTTTTTTGTCCAGGCTAGTGTGGCCCATGATCCTATTTTTAAGTTTCCCTCCATAACTAGGATGACAGGTGTGTACCACCACGTCCAAGTTTTTTCCCATTGAGATGGAGTCTTGCAAACTTTTTTAACTGAGTTGGCCTAGAACCACGATCCTTCCAATCTCAGCCTCTTGACCTCCTGCATAGTTCGGGATGACAGGTGCATTGCACCACACCTAGTTACTGGTTAAGATGGGGTCTTGTTAACTATCCCAAGGCAGATTGGCTTCAAACAGCAATCCTCCAGATCTCAGCCTCCCAAGTATCTAGGATTACAATTGTGAACCACTAGTGCCCAGCTATTCTTTATAATTTACTTATTCTGGTTATAGCAGTACAAAATGGACAAAGAAAGTATTGCTTTTTCTCTTAAACAAATGTATACTACTGACCTAAATGGTAAAAGTACTTTGTGCTCCTGGAAGAGAAGAGAATAATACAATTCACAAGTAAGCAGTGGCTATATACCAAATCCTATTGGGTAATGAGGATTCAAAGATCTGGTCTCAGCCAGGCACTGATGGCTCATGACCATAATTCTAGCTACACAGGAGGCAGAGATCAGGAGGATCATGGTACAAAGCCAGCCTAGGCAAATAGTTCATGAGACCCTATCTTGAAAAATCCATCACAAAAAAAGGGTGGGTGGTGAAGGCCCTGAGTTCAAACCCCAGTACTGAAAGAAAAAAAAAAAAAGATAAGGTCTTGTCGTTCCCAGTGGGGAAGTCAAGTAGCTTTAATATTATTTTTTAAAGTCTATGCTCCTCTTGGTGCTTCTGCTGCAATGAAGACACATTGTCTTCATTTTAGAATCTATCTTCAGTGTGTTCATCTTCTCAGATTGGATTAAACAAAGTTTCAAGACACAGAGAGTAATGGATGATTAATTCTATACAGGTAATGGGAGAAAACATCTCAGATCAGTTAATAACAATGGGAGCTTTGAAAGTAGGCCACATATTATTGAAAATTCCAACTACAGTACAACTCAGACATAGATGTATGAAAATGTGTGGCACACTTAAGGGAACATGGAACAGTTAAAGGAGATGAAAGCACAGAAATAATGGATGGAATGATATAAGAATATAACCATAGGTGAGACAAGGACTACTCCATTTCCATAATTGCCACATTCTTGGTACCTAGTACAATGGCAGGTACACAAAGGACACACAATAAACACTTATCAAATAAATTAACTAAGAAACAAATCTCAAGACAAGTCTGTTTAGACTGTCATACAGAGTTTTGGCTTTTATCCCAAAGAGTAAAATGAAAGAGGAAAATGAAAGGGCTGGGGATATAGCTCAGTAGCAAAGTACTTGCCTTAGCACATGTGAGGCCCTGGGTTTAATCCCTAGCACTCCCCTCCCACAAAAAGAAAAATGAGCTAAGTTTTTAGGAAGGGAAAAATCATAAACAGATATGTATTTTATAAAGATAATTCTGGTGGGAATGTGAATAAAAAATAAAAATGCTGCTAGCAATGAAATATATTCTAGGATTTTTATAGTAAGGCAGACAAACAAGAATGAGAACCTCCTATCACAACAAAGACAATGGGAAAGGCCAATGAGAAACAAGGTTGAAAAGTAAACACATGCTCTGGAGAAAAGGCCACCAGACTTCACAAGTGCAAGTGGTCTGACTTAGTCTCATTAATTTTATACAGTAGGTATAATAAAAGGATAAAGATGTATATATGAGGTTAGGAATGGCAGTAGTGAAGATAGATGGGACAGACACTGTGGTGTCTACTAAGGAGACACTAGCCACATGTGACTAAAATTTTTAAATTTAGTTTGTCAGTCACAGTGACTATATTTCAGGGGTCCAATGGCTGCATGTGGCCATTGGATATTGCAGGTATATACAACATTCCATCACTGTAACAAATTCTATTGGATGGAGCTACTACAGACAATCAGGACTCATCCAGGGAAGAGAAAGTGTTTCTTGGTGAAACTAAACTAGTCTTCGTTTTACTTTTCACCAAAAAGCAGGAATTAGTTCCATGAGCTAACAAAGCACTTTATCTTCAGGAAAAGGATCAACAGGATTACCACAGTAGTACTCACTTGTTCAAAGCTTCCACGCCTGATTTGGCAGAAGAACTTGGTACTACAAAACCCGACCCAGTCTCAGCATAGATGGTTGTAATAGCAAGAAATGCTGCTCCTGAAAATTTAAAGGAAACAGTGAATGAGCAATATAAACAATATCATTTCACATCAGGTAATAATGATTGCAAAAATGGGATCTGATTCAACAAGGTACAACAAAAACTGAAGCTTAAAAAAAAAAAAGCTCTCCTAGCCCATAACAAGAGTATAATCTAAGAACATTGTTATGTCTTGCTACTAATTTTGCTGTCTTTAGGATGGTCTAGTCTTTACTGACTTGTAATTCCACACCTGATGAGTCATTCATTACAAAGGCCCAAATCTCAAAGGCATGTCCCTATAACACTCTGCATAATCAGCTGGATGAGATTCCCACTAACTAAGCACCACTTAAATAAGACTAAATCAAATTTAAATTATCAAGAATGCCTCCCTCCAGCCATGATGGTCTTACCATAAACCCTGCTACAAACATCAAGAGAACTGTACAAGACACATGATACAGTTATTTTAAGACACTGTAGAGCAGGCAGAGAAGGACAGTGATTCCTAAGAGAAGGAAAATGAATAGAATGAAAGTAACATCACCTCAGATTTTTACTTAGAGTTATTATATAGACTGTGGCATAAAGAGAAATCCAAGCAGAAAATAACATTGAATTAAGAAGACAGAGGATCAGAGTTTTGGGAGGCTAAGGAAACAGATTTCTGAGTTGAGTTCCTCCAAGGAAGAAAGTATGCAAGGATAGAGCTCCATAAATCTTTGTAGAATGTCCTTGAGTCTGGCCAAATGCCAAGCTGTGCATGTTGAGATGAAATTCCACAAAGCTAGGTAAAGAATAACTTCCAGGTAGCTGTAAGCTAAACAATTAACAGACCTCACACAGGTTCACATATAGGAGTCCTAAGCAACTTCACTGAATATCCGGGGTTTTACAGAGGGGTTTTTCTGCCCCCTTTCCCCCTCCCTCTTTTTCTTCTTCCCTTCTTTCCCAGCTGAAGGTAGTATTTTCTAATACACAAATGCTGGGAGAATTCACTACCACTAGTCCTATACTACAATAAATTTTAAAGAAACTTCTTTAGGCTAAGTGAAAATGATACTAGATAGAAACTCAGATCTCAGAAAGAACGGTCAATATTTGAAATAGTAAATATATAGCTAAATAGAAAACAATCTTTCTTGTTTCTTAAACTTCTTTTTGTTTTTCTGGGGTGACACTAGGGCTTGAATTCAGGGCCTTGTACTTGCTAGGCAGGTAGTGTACTATTTGAGCCATGCCCCAGCCCTTTCTTACTGTAATTATTTTTTAGATAGGGTCTTGTGTGTTTTGCTGGGCCGGCCTTGAACCATGACCCTCCTACCTATGCCACGTAACTTGGATTAGAGAAGTAAACCACAATGCCTGGTTTATTTGTTAAGATGGGGCCTTATGTTTTTACCTGAACCGCCCTCAAACCGATCTCCACATTCCAATCATCTGAGATTACAGCAGTGAACCACTGTGCCCAGTCTAAATTTCTTTTTAAAATAACTGAGTGTATGAAAATACACTAAGAAGGAGGGAAGATGGTGGATTAGATACCCATTCTTTCCTGTATCTCCAGGAATCTGAAACAAAACATCAGGTGCATGGCTACAGGAAAAGGTGGGTGGCATGGAAAGGCAAAAATGGCAACAGTGAACAGCAGACAGAGACCAGGAGAAACTCCGGAATTTTGAATTTCATATTTATAGAAGAAATAATGGACCTAACATAGAACATTAGCAAAATGGTAGGGAAGGGGAAGAATCTTCCTTCCAGTCCCTGTGGGCTGCACGTGGAAGAGAAAAGTAAGACTTACGGAGCTCCACAGGTACACAGCTTGCATTCCACAAAACATAAGAGATTTGAATCCTGTGTAGCAAGCAGACACTAGCAAAGGGGCCCTGCACTTGCTAGCTTATGTGGAGTGCAATCACCTTAGGAAAGGTCTTGCAGTCAAATCGTTCAGCCAGGGAGGGCAGAAGACACATTTTTGTATCACCAAACCCCAAAGGCTTCCCATTCTAAACTGGCTAAGAGTCAGTGTGGACCCAGGAAACTGACTGTGACATGAACTCAGATTCACAGACACACATCTACTTCAGTGGGAAGTGCTAGCCACACCACAGAGGGAAATCAAGGTGAATACTAGGGGTTGCTTTAGCCTGAACTCTGGTTAAGAGGAGAAAGACCATAAGTATAAGTGGGGATGCTAGGAGAGAGAACTGCCTGGACAGGGGACAGAGGATCACTCATTGCCTGTGCCCCACCAGTGCAGATGCTTCAGTCTGACTGCTGCTCAGAGGGCCAGAGAGACTTTGAGAAAAGACTGCACCTTGGGAATTTCTCATACCCTACTTCCCAGGCAGGGTACCTCTGGTCCAAATAGGTCCTTGGGCTCAGCTGTGTGAGCAATTTGAAGGCAGCTCCTGCACTCCTTGCATTAGCAGGTCTACATACAGAAAAACACAGACAGTAATTCAGCGCCGCCAGAAAGACAGGATGGGGTGCAGCTTGCAAGCAGCCTTTTCTGCTCCAATGTGTTTGAATTTAAGAGAGAAAAATGGTTATTTCCCCCACCTACATACACACATTCACACAGAAAATAAAGTGCAAAAGACAAGGGGGGATGGATGGAATGGAACATCTCTATCACCTTTTCCTAAGTAAGAAAGAAATATTGACTGCTTTGTTTTGTTTTTGCTGTTGTTTTATCTTTCTCTGCACTTATTTTATTGTGTTCTTCCTCACTATTATTTCTTACACCTACATCTCATATACTTGTCCTCTCTTTCCTATATGATTTCTTCTCTTTTTTCTTTATAATTCTCCCTTACTTTCATTACCTACTAATACTTTTACCTTTTAATAATTTTTAAACTCCTAGTTTATCTTATAAGTACACAAAGCCTGACTTATCCACAGATTTAGTACATGCAGTTTTGACCAAGTATAGTAAAAAAAATAAAAGAAATTTAAAAATAAAAAAGAAATTTCAAAAACAAATATTTTAAATTCCCATGCATACAATATGCATCTCAGTTGATGTGGAGACACTCACACTCACTCCCACTTTACCCTCAATAGTGTTTAGTCATATATGATCTGCTGAGTGAAAATATGCCCTCCAAAACGCAAATGGTGCCCCAAAAGTAAAGTAAAAGTTCATGCACTTTAATTTAACTGAAAAACTGAAAATTTTAGATTTGTTGATAGGCTGAATGTCTGTGGCAGAAGTTGGGCAAAATTATAGGAAAAATGAATCCAGCATCCATAGTGCAGTACTGAATTCTGTGCTTGCTGAGCATTCACAGTTTTTCCTCAACAGCAGTTTCCTTGGAACTATATACCCACAGATACCTACTTACTTTCTGTTCCAACCTTGAGGAATAGCAATATTCCTCAAACTATTTCATAAAATAAAAAGGGATGGAATATTGCCAAACTCACTTACAAAGGCAGTATTACCATTAGAGCAAAATTGAATAAGAATATAACAAGAAAGAAAAATACAGGCCAATTTACTGGATTAACTTAAGAAACAAAAATCTTTAATAAAATGCTTACAAGCCAAGTTCAGCAACACACTAATATATCATACACCATGATTAAGTCTGTTTCATTCCTGAGATGCAAGGAAAGTTCAACATAAACAAATCAATAAATATATTAAAGCATGTAAGCAGAAAAAAATCACATGGTCATCTCGATATACATAGAAAAGGCCTTTGACAAAATTTAATGTCCCTTTTGCTAAAAGCCCTGAAGAAATTAGGGACAGAAGTTTCATACCTCAACTCAATAAAGGCTATATACACAAATCATAGCTAACTAAATTGACAAACACTAAAAGCATTATTCTAAAATCAGTGATGTGACATGGGTGTTCATTCTCTCCATTCTTATTCAATACAGTGCTTATTCAATCAATCAATCACTCAATCAATCAATGCATAGGAATAAATCTAAAGAAGGAGGTGAAAGAACTCTACAATGAAAACTATAAAACACTGAAGGAAAAAATCAAAGACAACAGTAGATGTTGGAAAGATCTCCCATGTTGATGAGTGCACAGAATTAATATTTTACAAATGGCTGTTTGACCAAAAGCAATCTACAAATTCAATGCAATCCCAATAAAATTCCAATGACTTCCTCATAGAAATAGGGAAAAAAAATCCCAAAATTCATATAGAAGTACAAAAGACCACACATAGCTAAAGCAATCCTGAGCAAAATGACCAATGCTGGAGGTATCACAATACCTAACTTCAAACTACACTACAGAGCCATAGTCTCACAACACAAAAGCAAATATGTAGACCAATATAGGATACCAAAATAAACCCACGCAACTACAGACATCTGATTCTCAACAAATGTGCCAAGAAAATATGTTGGAGAAAAAGTCTCTTCAACAAATGGTTCTGGGACACTGCATATCCACATGCAAAAGAGGGAAACTATCTCTCACTCTATAAAAAAAATCAACTCAAAACGGCCAAAGATTTTAAAGTAAAACCTAAAACTTTGAAACTACCAAAGAAAAACATAGTGGAAACACTTTAAGATCTAGGTATAGGCAATTATTTTCTGAATAGAAGTTCAACAGCTCAGTAAATAATAGCAAGAGTTGACAAATGGGATTGCATCAAATTAAAAAGCTCTGCAAAGCAACAGAAGCAAATACTAGAGTGAAGAAACAGCTTAGAAAATGGGAGAAAATCTTTGCCAGCTATCCAGGTGAGAAGGGATTGATATTCAGAATATCTAGAATATATATAGAAGTCAAAAAATTGAACACCAAAAGAACAAATAATCCAATCAATAAATGGGCAAATATATAGAACAGATGGCTCTCAAAAGTGCAAATGGCCAATAAATACATGAAAAATGTTAAACAGCCTTAGCCATCAGGGAAATGCAAATCAAAGTTACATTGAGATTCTATTCCACCCCTGTCAAAATGGCTATCATAAAGAAAGCAAACAACAACAAATGCTGGTGAGGATGGAGAAAAAGGGAGCCT